AACAATGTCATTACCGACATTCAGTGAGGTGCCACCTCGGCCGCCCTCACTCTGTGTAATTTCACGTGCCACCGCACTTATAGCATTAGGGCCTAGCCCTGAACACTCTGGCCTCTCGCCAACAATGTCATTACCGACATTCAGTGAGGTGCCACCTCGGCCGCCCTCACTCTGTGTAATTTCACGTGCCACCGCACTTACATCAGAGGAATTACATTCTTGATGTTTCGGCCCTAGGCCAACCATGCTTGACGCATGCAGTGACTCAGTATCACAACGAGTATCACTCAACGGAGTATAACTCTCTCCAAACGCGTTAGAAGAGCTCCGCTCAATATTTATGTCATCGACATTCGAGTTAAATAACTCTGACATACCAATGTCCAGCACATTGACATCTTCCGTCAATGGCTCGCGCCAATAGCGCTTTTGTTGCCTAGCAAAGGTGGGTTCATGACTCTCCAAAGCTTCGCTAGGAACATTGCGCGTTGCGCCTAAGGTCTTAGACCTCCAATCAATCCATGGCTCATGGCGTTCAAGCCAAGCCATACCCAGGATGAGATCATATCTCGAATCCAAATCGAGGACGAGACAACGTTCAATGCTGTCAAAGTCCAAAAACTTCACACCTAAGTTCAACGGAACTTTAGGCACCGTGACGCGACTACCAGTCGCTAAACGAACGGTGATCGAATCACCTTCGTGCGCTTTGAGCGCTTCAGCGTATCGCTGACTTCCCTCAAGGGAACGACGTCGAGCATAGTTACATGATGCTCCTGAATCGATTAAAATCGACCACGGCTTCTCAAAGCCTTTTACTGTCGCCTCGGCGACTAACAAGCCAGGCTTGTATCCACGCTCTGTGCTGGCTGGCACAGCGCTAAGTGGGGCTAAGCCCTGTTTCACTTTATCTCGTAGAGATGTGACAGAACTTAGTTCTACCCCAGTAGGGCGCCCCGCGCCTACTGGGTGTCGACGTTTCCCCGTGCCATACCAGGTTTCTGGTTGAGGCTGGGGTTTCGACTCATAGGAGTCGGTTGTTGCTTACGCAAGGGACAAGTGGGACGCAAGTGTTTAGTGCTTCCGCACGTGTAACAGCGCCTCACGTCCTGTCGTTGCTCCGCAACATGAAGCTCCGCTTCGCCTTCATCTTCAGCATGGCTGAGATCCATCGGTTCTGGCTTACAGTAAGCCGAAGCCCTCGCAGAGGCCGCCCTCGCAAAGCTTGGGTTGTACCCATTCCAACCAAGTCTGGCCGACTTGAAGTTGTGCTCAGCATTTTGAGCGACGCTCACAGCTTCCTCGAAGGTAGAGGGATGAACCCGAAAAACCTCGGTTCTGGCCACGCCAGTGCGGAGACCTTCCATGAAGACTGTCACGTAGACAGTCTCAGGGAGAGGGTCAGACTGCATAGCAGCCATTAGAGTTCTCAACTCTTGGACATAGTCCGTTAACTCGCTCTTACCCTGACGGGTAGACAAGAAGCGTGAGCGCACGCGATATGCCTGGTTAGGCGGCGAGAAAACTCGCATAAGGTCCAACTTAAGCGATTCCCACGTGGGAAATGCCAAATTGACCGACGTGCCACACGTCAAAGCCCACTCTCTCGCTCTACCATCGAGCTTAGAGATAGCCAACGAGACCCGCTGGTTCTCAAGTGAGATGAGACCAGAGTCCATGGCCATCTCAATCTCACGGATCCAGAGGGTCAAGGTTTTCCCCCTCCTTCCCGGAGTAAAGTTTAACGTCCACCCGAAGGGGACGAGGCTTAGCCTCTTCTGGTGGCATAGCCACGTAGCGTGTCGGCATAGCCGACGCTACTTGGTTTTGAACCTGGCCCAACAGGGCCGTTTCATACTGCATAAAGGCCTCGACTCGTGCATTGAGCACATCGGGACCCTGTGCAGCTAGAAACTCCACATACTCTAGGCCTACGGCCGCGGTCAGCTTATCAAGCGCGACCTTTTGAGCCTCAGAGAGGGGTGTGGATTGCTCCATCCTCGCAGAGGATCAGTCGTTACCGACTCAGGTGTAGATTGACTACTAGTGCTACCAAGTGTAGCGGAGCTACACAGCTCCTTAAGTCAGAGGAAGACTTTACGCTCAATGAGCAACTTTGGTTCAAAGAACCCGACTCAGAGAGTCAACAGCTCAGAGAGCTTAAAGGTGGTTCAGAGAACCCGACTCAGAGAGTCAACAGCTCAAAGAGCTTACGGTCCCTGTTCCAGGGGGACCAAACGATTCAAAGAATCGAACGCACTAAGTGCACAAGGAGTAGCTGCCTTAACAAGGCGTTGCTACTTCCTTACGATCGCAAGACGCCTCAGAGAGGCACGTGTCTTTTGTTGATCAAAATGGGAACTGAATTTTATTTCTTCATTTAACCTAAAAGAACACCTTAGAACAACGTATTTAACCTGCCCTAAATAACCTCTTAAAAGATCTTGCAATCAATTGATGACAGACACCAGTCTTCAACAATTGATACGCTCACTGTGTTCTAATATTACCTTATAGGGTACCCCCCTCTCGTGTGTGCACCACACCTATCGTCGGCTACCAGCCGACGTGTAACCCCGTTACAGTTCACCTGCCCCAATGCCTGGGGCTCGACGTGTCGGGGCGAGCGCACGCTCCACGATTACTGCTACCCGTCAAACAAGTTGTACCTCCACGCGTCGTACAATGAGCTGGAGCGACCACTGCCATCAGCAGTAGATTCCTCCAGCCCAAGCCTCCATGGATCAAGCGCCGCCTTCGCAACAACATCTCGCGAAGGTCAAAAGGGGTCTACTCAATGTCCCATTTGGCGCATTCGTAGCTCCACAAGGACCAGTTGCGTTTCAGCAGCCACTGCCGCAACTAGAACACCACCAGCCGCAGATAATGGCACCGCAAGAGGAGAAACTCTTGATGATGTATGCAGGCCCGTTTGGAATGGGCCCACCGCTTTTACTCGCGCGTGTTCCCAAAGGCATCTTGCCACCTGCTTCAAACAATCCTTCAACAGTATTATGCCAACCTTAATCAAGGCTGCAAAACAAGACGATTTAATAGAGACACGATGGTAGCTGGTAGCTATTTAGTAAGTAAACATCGGGCGCAAAAGGGCCAACAATGTATATTAATTTTGCTTGTTACCTCACTTCCTGCCTAACTTCCTGCCATTGTAGGAGTTACTTGCTGCCGCCTCGCCTATCCCTAGCAAACAAGCAGTTTCTTACTCCAAGCAATCATCAGTTTCTTATTCCATGTTGCAGCTAAGTATAATATGGTTGACAAAATATTAAGTGTGTTTTTTATACATGAGTTGAGTATAGTACTGGTTTTGGGACTTTTGTACATTTGTGGTACTGGCTTTGAGATTTACTCTTTTTTGTACGCCTTGATTTGCGTACCTAGTACAGCAATTTAGGTAAACGTACTTTGCCGCAAAGGGTAAGGTATCTCTTACTACTGGCTCTGCTAGCTACAAAGTATTCGGATCGTCATGGTTGTACAACCCTACGTGTACCTCCTACCAAGGGCGCTCACTTAAGCTGTTGCTTGTAGAACGCGGCTTTATCGATCGTATCCCCCAATGAATTGAGATTTTGATGTTGCACGCTCTGACTCCCAAGAGCTGATTGCTTTGGTACATTACGATATGAACTCACTCCTAGCTCACAATATCGCTGCACAAACGATGACCTGTACCATTATTATCCAGCTCGATCGTAAATGTACGCTTTTATTGCTTGTAACGAGCCCAATCTCTCATACGTTCACAACAATCCTGGCAAGTTGTGTCACCGAAGGAGATTGCCCAAACGAGCTGTTACGATGATGATGCAGCAGCAGCAGCGTGCAGAGTCGTAAGCGCACTAGCCAAGCAACGTTGCTATCTCGTTCCGACTAGTGAAGATGACGGAGCTAGAATCATGCCGGACGACGCTCGAACAATAGCTGTCCGAAATTGAAGCAGCTTTACTGTTTTTGGATCGCGAGTCCATGTATGCATCGTCTGCGCAACACATCTTCATGCGTTGCTTCTGAAGATGTGCTGTGCAGACGATACATACATGGACTCGCGATAGCAAATAAGCTAAAGCTCGAGGATCTAGGATGGTCGATGTAACACCTTATCTTGGTGGCACAGGTCAGGCAGGGTCAATATCGACGAATCTCCAGCCGTTACCTGTAGAACCACTTGTTATCTATTCCTTTCCGACCATACGTGCGTCTGGTGTTACAACGCTTTTACTACACTGTCTTTTCGACCAGCGGTCGTCAACAGAACAACTTTTTATTTGCAATAGAGGTCAAAATCATTGATGCAACGTATTATTCTCTGTTGTATGCAGGTGACTGACTGATGGGAGAAAGTGATATGAGGACCCGGCACGTCTGTGGAGTGATTCGCACCGTAGAACGCGATAGCATGTCAAAAGTCGATTAATCAATCTCTGCATCAATCCTCTTGCCTTAGCAGAGTACGCGCGATTGAGATCTCTACGCAACCTGCGTCCGACTTTGAAGCAGCTTTGCACACCAAGCTGCTTTAGATGAAATGGACGAACTCACCTTTTTCGCACTTTCCATCACATAGCAGCTGGATTCTACTAAGACGTCATTTTTACGGCGCGAAGACATTCCAACGGTCCGAAGGAAGTGAATTCATGACCGCCGAGATGTATCCGCTGAATGAGTCCACGTCGCGGTTTGCTAGGAGACTCTGTCCCTGTGGTGGGATATGCGCCTCAATAGCAAGATCATCGAACTTTCTAATGAGCCAAATCAAGAAATCAGACAGCAGTTGTTCCATGCGCTCTACGGCTTGCACGTGGACGGGGTTGAGCTTCACTTCCGACAAAAAAGATTCGAGTCTCGGCAAATCAACGAAGCCCTCAGATAAGGTCGGAAGCATCGCGACGGGTGGTGTACCTGGTCTTGCCGCGTTATACTTGTTGATGTACGTCTCCAGTTCCTCGTAAACCACGTCTGCAGAATGTCTTTCTCGATTACCAACGTCCTTGTATTGGGGAATGGATCAGCCTGAGGACCTCCACAGGATGCAGCTCAAATCGGGACTTCTTCTCCAGATTTTCCTGCAACGCCAGTGCTTCCAGATGCGCACGATATGCCTCTTGAGGCTCTTTGAGCGAATCGCCTCGCTTATCCGGATCTTTCCTCGCCCTTATAGCTTCTTCTAGCCAGGCGTGCATGCTTTTTTTATCCACGGGTTGTGTCTTTACATAGTGATCGAGCGCATCTCGATTGAACGAGAGCAACTCATTCTCTCTAGAGACTGTGGCCTCAAATTGAGCACTTTTACGCCATGCGCTGAGCAGCTCGTGTGCTACCTCTTCTATCTCCTCCGAGGCATGCACCACAGGCGCCATCCTCTCTTCGCCGGTCTTGTGGTCGTGTACCTCTAGCGGTTCCTTAACAGCGACGCCGTCGTGGTCCCCGTGAGCGGAACGAACGTCGGCCGCGAGTTCAGCCTTCGCCATTGTAGCGTTGGATGGCTCCGAAGCGTTCGTGCTGCCTGCCAAAGTCGCAGTGCAAGCCACAAGGGCAAAGTAGTAGACGCGCATCGTCGCAAACGGTCGTCCAGGTGCGAAGGAGCAAATTGCGAAGTGACCGAGTGGTTGAGCTCGCAGACGAGCCCGAGACCAGACCGGTTTCATGGTGACAGGGCAAGCTTTCAAATCGTTGTATAATTCTTGCTTGATTCTCCCAACTGGCTGCCATATAAGCTCAGAAACTGACCGCGATCTCTTCAAGAGGTTATGACGATTGGAGCACCGCTTGGTGCGCACTGACGGCTTGGACCAGGTTCGTGTGTATCGCGTCACTCGGTCATACTTGCACTCTCAAATGTGTATTGCTTTCATCGATGTGTTTTTATTTTGCGAACATGTGACAATGTTAGCTTGTGTCTTTCTCGTCTTTGTGCGTTGTACTCTGAGTGCAGAAATCGATTACTGAACTATTCATTCGGCTTGTCCGATGCATCAGCAATGCTCCGGTCGTTATGGGGCGGAGAGTTGCGCTCTCGCGTGTCTTTTGCGAATCGAAAAAAGTGGACAGCGAACAACAAAACCATGTGCGCTCTAGCGCCTCGTGCGTTTATCGATCTGCCTCTGACGATGGACTCGGCTGATATCGATTGTAATAATGTCCAACCGGGATGTCAACGAAAGGATGACCTACCGATGCAGCGAGAAGATCGCTGACGAAAAGGTTAGGCCATTCATTCACGATATCCTGCGTGTTGGCGCATCAATCTCGCTTCCGTGACGGTCGTGCACGTACAAGTCACGCTAAACTCGTGCGTTCAATTGCGCTGCGGGCGTGGGATGCTTCTAGATTGTTAAAACGCTGTTTAGAGGTAGGCGCATGTATTCGTCGACAAACAGCATCGCTCGACGAGTAGACATGGTCTAGCCTAATCTAACAATAAAAAGCTTTAAGAAAAATCACTAACAAACTAAAAACCAAGGTCAAAAAACAGCTCTTCGAGTTTCTGGTACATTTGAAATAGGAATAGTCGATCAATGAATTATCGAGCTAAACATCGCTAGGAGCACCTATGAACCGCAGACATTACAAGAGATCTTAACTAGAGGATAAGCCTTTACTGCGTGTGAGTACATGATTAGCATATCCGCGAAACGCTCTTGCTCAACGATCGCATGCGAGAGATAGGTAAACACTCGCTCGTCACTTCGTTCGGTGGCCCAGACCTTTTCCAGGTAAGTCCCATCCACATTTTCGTGAAGTGTTATATAGCCCCATAGACATCTGAGCGCAAACGCATCGCATCTTTACCACCGGGTTATTTGTTGCGCTTCGCGACTTTGTGCTTACATGCGTAGTAGCAGCGTAGAGAACAAGCGACTAAGATATCGAAAAATGGCTTAAGCCTCTTGTACTAATCGTTACTTCATACGACACACCTGACAGCTTTGTGACATCGTTGCGTCAACTGTACTGACGTGCGTATGTTGCAAGCGCGGTTGCGATCTCGCCAATCCTCCTTCCCTCTAACTCGACACGCAGATGTTAGACTTACATTGTGCTCCGCTGTAATCCTCGTGTTTCGTATCGATATGTTTCCTTGACAAGTCAATACTTTGGGGGCGACGCTTGCGGCTGCAAGCGCTTCATTCTTCCTGTTTTAACAAAAAACTGATAATGTAGTACATTATCAACTAAATTCGCAACTGTTTATCTCAAGGTACAAAAAGAATGGCGCACGGGGCACGAGAAGGCATACACCGCTGCAACGAAAAGCAAGTGCGATCAAATTCTCAAGAAACATCACCGACCAATGCAATCTGATAGTCACTGCATCATTAAGTGCGCCAATAGTCAGGGCTCGCATTGATTGAGCATTACTTCTAGCGACAGTGTAAAGTAAACTACGGCAAGCTGCAGGTAGCACAGCTTTCTTGATTTCTGTGTGCGGGTCTGGTGGTCCATAGATGTCAGACGGGTCATGAGTACTGGTGGATCGAATGATATCGCTGATGCAGCTGCGGATGCTTTGGAATGTCTCGCGTTCGTCTTGTTGTGCTACTCGCACTCACTGCTTATCATGTCAGGCTGAAGACCATGTGCCAGGTGAAGGCAATCATCGTGCAGTCATCTTTTTAGCTCGTTCAGTCTACGATTGCGACCCTGTTGTCACATTTAACGCTAGGGAGGCCAATGCATCTGAGTCTCAATATAGATGAACTCAGAAAGCGATAGCGTGCGATCGGAACGACAGCGTTAAGCCCAATATGTGCTGCATCTAATAAGCAAGGATGCGGTATCGTTTGATACCGCTGCATTGCACTTACTGCGCGAATGAAGACGTCTCTTGTCTCAACCGTTCATTTCCATGTGCGCTACGTCAATTGGCAACATCCGGAGGATCACGCTTACAATCGCTATGTTTATATCGACCTGTGCGAGTTCAGCAGCCATACCTGCCAGAGTTGTGTGCAGAGTAATCATATGGAAACGGGGCCACACGACGGTAATAAACGTCGTGATGGGCGGTAGTGTTGTGTGGTGTTCACATACAAGGTTAGAGGACATGGAAGGCGTAATGTGGTACATAACACGTTGGCGGTATTACCTTTACTTATAATTTATGGGTTGCGTCCTATTGTAAGGTAAAGCGTTCAAGTATGCGAACTTCAGTGAACATATGCGGAAAGCACTCAGAGTAGCGAACGGTGGTATTCCCATACTAAGTCGTAAAACCTTTGGTGTGTTCTTCGATGAGGTATGGTATTGTGTACAAAGCATTAGTGAATTGATTAGTGACACGTACGTGGTAAGGCATCAGTTGATCGCAAGAGTTAAGAGTCTTCCTCCCGGCGTGTTCCGTGGATACCAGTTGCCACTTATTTTTACAAGCCATTATCCCCTTTCACGAGGACTAGAATCTCTATGAGCCCGTTGACTCCCAGTCGCAAATAATAGGGCACGATATAGAGTGGGGCCTCAAAACCTTCGACGCCGATATGTTTCTACACATTGTCTTCTCTTCCTACCGTGTGGTGAAACAAAAAGCAGGAGAACACCGAGTGCTTCTTATCACAAGTTTAACAAGTGCAAGAAGCCCGTGCTACACTACGCCTGAACTCGCCCTCGATCGAGAAAACAAGACAGAATGCACCCCAGGCGAGCGTCAGCCTTCTCGGTTTGGTCGCAGACACCAATCGCCTACCTAATGGTGGAACAGCCGAAGGTTTGAAAACGCCATAGTAATCCCAAACTCCTCGCAGGCGGCCTTGACATCCCCGTCACGGGTACTCCCACCCGGTTGAGTGATGTACTTGACGCCGAGCTTCGTCGCATGGTCAATCGAGTCACGGAACGGGAAGAAAGCGTCCGACGCTAGACTCACATCCGTCAGGTGCTCGAGGAACTCCTGCTTTTCACCAGCCGTGAGTGGCTCGGGAACACGCTCGAAAAGAGCATTGAACGTCTCGAGCTCCGCAGGCGCCATGTCCCCTTCAATGTAGCGCACTCGCGCATTCACACGCTCTTGACGCTTGACGCTGCTCTTGAAAGACAGACTTTGCACCTTCGGGTGCTGACGAAGGTGCCAGATCGCAACCTTGCGGCCTGCAAGCTTCACGCAGTCAACGCGCGACTGCTGACCAGCACCGACTCCAATCATCTGCCCATCTTTGGCGTAGCCAACCGAGTTGGACTGCGTATACTTGAGTGTAATGGCTGCAAGCACCAAGTCGCGCTTCTTGGCGTCAGTCAATGGACCTGCGCCCAATGTCTGCACGTCCACGAGGTGTTTGTCAGCCGAGAAGAGCACGTCGTTGCGTTTCTGGGCAAACGTAATGCCAGCGACTTCCCGGTACTCCACCTCTGGTAGAGCAAACGTAGCGTCGGCCTCCAAGATGATAAACTTGCCACCTTTCTTGGCCTTGAGGATCTCAAACGCTGCTGGCTCGTAGCCAGGGGCAATGATGCCGTCGCTCACCTCCCGCTTGAGGATCTTTGCAGTGGCTTCGTCGACCACGTCACTCACAGCAACAAAGTCACCAAACGACGACAGTGGGTCTGCGTTGCGAGCACGCAAGTAGGCGAGCGACAGCGGCGTGAGCGTCACATTGCCCACCTCGTAGGCAGCGTGCAGCGTTTCGTCCAGATCCACTGCTACCGCTGCGCCAGCAGGACTCACGTGCTTGAACGAAGCAGCCGCCGGCAAATCCAGCGACAGCCGCAGCTCCCGCACCAGCTGGTACGCGTTGGCAGCGTCGAGGAGGTTGATGTAGCCGGGCGCGCCGTTGCGCACGGTGAACGGCAGTGTGCTGCCGACTCGACTGAGGATCGCTGCTGGCTGCTGGTGCGGATTGCAGCCGTACTTGAGCGCGAGCTCGTGCGTGTACACGCGCGTGACGCTGGGGGCTGCACTCCCGAGCTCGCCATTGAGCCACGACGAGATCGACGAGTCGTAGGACGCAGCCAAGGAGAACGCGGCGGCCGCACAGCGTCGACGGAACTCGAGCGACGTGCTCATCGCGTGCTGGTCGGTGTGGCGCTCGAGCTCCTGAATCAGCGCGGGGTACTGCGCGGGACTCGAGCAAACGACGACCGCCTTGTGGTTCTTGGCCGACGACCGCAGCATCGACGGGCCGCCAATGTCAATGTTCTCAATGCACACGTCGAACGCGCAGCCAGTGGCGACAGCGGCTTCGAACGCGTAGAGGTTGAGGACGACGAGGTCAATGGGCGCAATGCCATTGGCCGCCATCTCGGCCTCGTGCTGCGCGTTGCCGCGCACCGCCAGTAGCCCTCCGTGGATCTTGGGGTGGAGCGTCTTGACACGGCCGTCGAGGATCTCGGGCGACTGCGTGTAGGCGGCGACGTCGACCACCGGCAGCTGCGCGTCCCGCAGCGCTTTGGCCGTCCCGCCGGTCGAGAGCAGCTCGACGCCGTGTTGCGAGAGGTACGTGGCGAGCTCGACGAGGCCGCTTTTGTCCGAGACGGACAGCAGCGCGCGCTTGATGGGGACGCGCGACGTCTGGGCGCCCGAGGACACGGCGTGCAGGATGTGGTGACTCATGTTGACTGGTCGGGAGCGACGATGGGGTGGGGTGGAGTGGGGCGGTGGCTACACTTGGACGATGGCTACCTTGCACTTGGACGATGGCTACACTTTTCGATAGACTTGTCCTTGTTAGATGTCAGTCCACAAAAGTAGAGACAGAGAACACACCATTGAGGTGCAAAAGAGGGAGTGCCATTGGTTTCGATATCTTCTTGTGGCGTCCAGCAAATCTCTCTCATCTGCAGAAGAAATCGTCACCAAACGAAATTCCCACAGCTGCTCGACGCAAACGTGATGTCAAAATGATACTCGAACCATCTTGCTGGCATATCCACTTGATGCGGGCCTTTCAACAACAGTACTGAATGGTCAGAGTTGGCGGCTGGGAGATAGTAAATGCGCTGTGTTGTCAAGTGAGCACCGTGTTGCGGTTGTTGTTGTAGGCCAATGCACCGCGTTGGCGTCGTGGATCTGGTGAAGTGAAAGATGAGAGAAAAGAGATACGGCGCAAAATAATCTAGAGAACGACATCAAAAACAACAACAACAACAACATCATCAACAGTGACGACGATAGAGTCCAATGATATTCTGACGGTAGACAGTCATCGCCCAGTACAATAAAGATATATCCAGTGGCCAATACGTGGGATTACGCAGTGTGGGAGCGCCGGCAGGGCGAGCTTAAGTGATCCTACAAGACATCCCCTTTCTACTTACCCTACATCCGACGCTCACTCGGCGATTTGGTAGACTAGTATGAGCGCCCATATGCGTCACTGGTAAGATCGGCTCAATACGTATGATCTATTTTGTTTGTAAAATGGATCATGTCAATCTCCCCGATCGTTGACTGTAGAAATTTGATGCTTATAAGAAGAACTGATTAGGTCTCACCCCCAACTAACGCTTCTTCTGTTGCGAATCGTAGAGCGAAGCCCTCTTCTCAATACGATGTCAGCACTGGCGCCCAGACAATCGACTATTGGAGAAGGTACTTGAATACCTTGTATAAAGTTGCCGCTATCACGTTTTGTACCTGTTAACACGATGATTGTTATCTCCAACATGTAATGTGCCGTTTCGATTCTGACTGGGTATGAGATCGGTGAGAGTGCGATCGTGTGGAAGTTTTCTCACGACCGCGGTATATCTTAGGTATACTCTACACATGTTAGCTCGATCTACCTTGAGATCGCCTTGCCCAGTAACACCTATTCTTGATCCACTCGATCTTCTGAACACACGAGCTGCATCCACAGCCTTATGTCCAGACATTTACGTGTCGCTGCGTCTGATCGCAATTGAGGTTATTGTAAGGTATTCGGCCCTGGCCGAACAACATTAACGTCGACCTCCTGTAGTGACTTGTGGCTCTCTTGAACGTCTAGAGGTCAAAACAAGTAGTCAGCCCAAAGTAGAAGTCTGCACACTTCTTTATGCTCAAATCGCGCTCTTTTGAGCTTGACCACCAATCCACTATCGAACCACGACTATGCCCATCTGTATCTTAGATTCGGCTGTCACGTGTCGTTCACGCGATATACTGTCTTTTTGACTTGTGTTGTCTACATTATGTATTAGCCGTGGAAGCCGCAATCCTTGTCTCGCGCCCTATAATATAAACAAGCGCGATTAGAGATCGCGACTGTAATTCTCGGATAGCGGCGAATATGCTCTTGACTGGGTCTTAGCTTGCGAGATTAAGATCATGGCCTATGTGGTACGAATTGCATTGGTCCGCATCAAGTCCGCTACCCACACCCAATGATAGCTTCGCGTTCTCTTTGCGATCACGATCCAGGAACTTGGATTCTTAGGCGTGCTTTTTGTGGAATCCAGTCATCTTGGCCGTTGTTTGTCGCTCGATTCCATTTGATCCTGGCCTGGTTTCGGTCCCACAACTACGATAGCCTCAACGGGTTCAAAGGTGTATCGGACATGAATCCTTGCAATCGCATCAGGATTTCGCGTCAGTATTTGTCATCGCATCAGGATTTCGCGTCAGTCTTTGTTATCCTTGTTCGTGACCTACAAAGCAATCTTACGTACTGGGGAAGTTAAAACGCGCCCAGGTGCATTCACGTTGGCAAAACTTTTGTCAACGAACATCTATCAATCTCTGTCCGTTTTTATCAACCATATACGGGTACGATCTTAGCCAAATTAAATACTGGCATCCTCGCAATTCTTGATCTACTTCGCCACACTATATAATGATATCTTCTGTGTGTAGCTTGCCACATCTATGCGCACTGATCAATTAGCCTCTAGGGGTATTCATCATTACATATAAGCTTCGTACGCCAATTGCTTGCGCGAAGTTGCTGTTTATAAAGTTCGCGACGAATGAATAATGCTCTTGCGATACACCTTGAGCATCGTTAAATACGATAGATCTGTGTCGCACCTGAGTCGATGTGGCTTAAGTTTGTAGTACTATCATCACTGTTTTTGCCGACTGCAAAATGCCATTTCGGGTATCGGTAGTATTCGTGCGCTTACAGTGCACTCTTCGAATGCTTCTTTGTAAATCCCATGGATTGTCAAGACAAATAGTAAGATGAAAGTAAGCACTACAATCGGCGATACAATGACCCGCCTTGTCACTGTAGTGGTAGGCCTTAGTCTAATTAGTTGACCAATGCCTCGCACGAACTGTTGTCGACTGTGTATAAAATTGGATGAGTGTCTCCTTCGGCTTTGCTCTCAATGAATCAATGTAGGAGAGCAAACGTCACGAGTAGCACTTTACCATGTTAAAGTGGCACACCGATGTTGTAATGAGAAATCAGACGACTCGTTCAGGTCTGAAAAGCGTGGTCGCAATGCCATCTGTACTTTGATTATAGCACCGAACAAGTGTAGTTGCTTCACCGGAGTCGCGAGGCTCTATTACGTGAACGAGCATGTCGATAAGTAATTGCAGTCTGTACCTTAAGCAAACTTCGACCATCGAAGAGCTTGTATGCAATAGTTTTTGTTATTTATGAAATTCGACAATGCAAAAAATGCATCATTCAACTATCGGAAATGATAAGCGTTTACGATTATCCTTTTTCGATCAATCGTTATCATCTTGTGTGTCTAGCGGTTGACCACTACCAGGTACAAATACGTTAATATATGTTTGATCGTAACCTCCTTGCTATAAAATAGGCAATGAAAGCAGCATATCGATCACGATGTGTGAACGGGGCACCCTCCCCTTGTACTGATACAGTACAAGCCACCTACCCTTACACAATATAGGCAGGTGCCCTTTAAACTTGCGAACACTGTACGTGCAGAGGAAATCCTGATCCCATAATGTTACACAATTGTAAGAAGAGAAAAGTAGAACTCAATTTAATGTACTCGAGTCTCCTTATTGATACTCTCTTGATCTTTTTAGACTATCTTAGAATACAAACGACAAATGTAGCTATTCGCTCACCATTCATCGTGCGCTTGCAGCATGATAAAGCATTCAATTTATTTCCAATAAACGAATTAAACTGATTTAGAGGCCTATATAAAGAACAAATAAGTAGATCGGACTTAAATAATACCTTGAAAGATAATTTTCGTTTATCAAATTTTCCACAAGTAAAGCATGGGTGACTACGATCAATCAAGATAGTAGTATGAAAGACCCATCGTGGAGTCAATGACATGAAACGGGCTCAACCCGTTTTAAGATGCCTCTTGACGAGCCGTAGGCGGATGATGAAAAGTTGAGCGAAATTGGGCTCATACTATATGAATAGGCGCTAATTTATTATCGAAAATTGCAACGAAAACTTGCTCAGGTATCAAGTATACCAACCTTTTATTCAACATCTCTGTGTCAACTAAGAATTCACAGCTCCCCGGTCAGTCATTTTGTAGCAAGTTACTTTCCCGCGGCAGAATATTCTGCTTCAACTGATTACGATGTCAATGTGGTCAGCCGTTGCTCAGGTATCGAAAGAGAGTTTGACAACAAAGGTTACGCTGATGAACGTATGGGCAACTCACGCCGATAGCGACGAGGCACGCGACCCCACATCACGTAGCGTTTGCGCAATAACGAAGTTAACCATCAACAAAAGTGCTGGATATATGGAGACGTGAGAAGTATATAATATACGAAAAAAGTTGACATTGAACTATTTCTTACCCTACTTCGACAACCTGTATCTCCAATAAGCAGTATACTTTCTCGGCAGTTAATACGCGCACAGTCTTTACTCGATGATTATATAGGATGCATTAATGTCTTGGTTCAGCCTGCAATTAGCGTTGTCAAGTGCAGCCAGAAATTTACCTCAGAACAACCATATATCAATATTACCGTCTTCGCTATAGTTGGTTATTCCACCAAATAATGAGGTTGCGATGAATTCTTACACACTTAAATGTCCTGGAACGTGCCCAGCCCGTTGCACGATCATTAGCCTTCCCGTACGATAGACTGATCTAACATTCTTGTGACTCATGATGACAAGGACTTGCACCTAGACACGAAAGGTGCTATGGTCGGTTGATGACACTAGTTCCTAGAATCCGGATCGAGCAGAAAAATGTGTGCGGACTGCCACAAACCGATTGAGTGGTCTGGAAACTAACGGAGCGAGAGCGATTTGGATTACGTAAGTGAGCGAAGCCGTACGCTGAAGGTATACAAAACGCAATGGCAGATCCTTTTACCACAGTGCACATTTGCTAATGCATCTCATACCGATGTATATACTCAAATCATACATATACGCGGCAGGTACATTGTCGTCTGCAATCAAGTAACGATCGCTGACGAGCTTACTAGCCATTTCATCGATTAAAATTGCATTTAGAGTGTCGAGTCTTATTGTGGAATGTATAAAACCTCGATAAAAACAGTGCTGCTAATGTACTAAATCGTAAAACCAAAGCATTGTTTAGCAAACAGCATTTACTCTCTTCTTTATTCGCATCTATCACTTTACTGTGAGCATTTGTCCATCTTTCGGTATCAGACTGTCTTGTGTTCTTTCGAAGCTCCTTTCGCGATAATCGCGATTTTTATCCCATTATTTGCATCGAACGTGCAAAGACATTACGCAAAACAAAGCAAACGAAAATCCCTTTCATTGCAACGACGTTCGATCAGATATTGACGGGATGCTGGCAACGCTGCCGTCGTCGTCGTCCGTGGCGGCTGTCGCGTGTGCAGTCGATTCAATACGCATCAAGTCCGTGGAAGAAGACGACGCGGATTACGAAGAGCTTATTCCGCCCGAGAACTTTGCCATGATCGAAAAGGGTCTTTACCGAAGTGTGTCATTTGGATCCGCTTTGTTCTCGTTGTCGACCACGCTATTGCGACCGATCGGCTAAAATAATATCCTCTCAATGCCATGTCATTTTAGGTGGATTTCCAAAGAAAAAGAATTTTGCATTTCTTCGGAAATCGCTGCAGCTCACGTCGATATTGACACTTGTGCTGGAAGACTATCCGTCGGCCAATACCGAGTTCAACCGCATGCACGGTATCAAGTTGCTGCAATTTGGAGTTCCTGGAAATAAGGTGAAGTTGCGCGTGGTGTTGTGCATATTTTCGCTTGTCGTCATGTTGAATGGTGATGTGGTGAGAGCGAGAGCCAATTGTAAACAATGGGACAATGTTCAGGAGCCTTTTGTTGACATACCGGAGGACGGCATTGTTGCGGCGCTGAAAGCCGTGCTCGACAAGCGCAACCATCCGATGCTCATTCATTGTAACAAGGGAAAGGTATGAGCTTGCTTGCAATGCTCGTTGTTTTGTTGCTGATGACGATTACTTACCACCGAAGTTGCATGTCCCGATTTGTATTGCATTCGACCTGCAGCATCGTACTGGCTGCCTCGTTGGCTCGTTGCGCAAGGTTCAGCGGTGGGCTTTCAGCTCGATTTTCGACGAATACATTCGCTTTTCAGCCCCAAAGCCCCGAATGATGGATCAACAGGTCCGTGTTGCCATTGTTTGTGCTAAGCGTCTTGTTGTGTGCGTGACGCGATCGCTTGTGCTTCAGTTTATCGAGTTATTTAAGACCGAACGCGTCACGGAAGAGGAGAGTCTGACAGAGCACCTCCCGAACTGGCCTGGTCTTTAGCTCCAAGCCGTCTGTCATGACTACTGCCGGTTGCGTTTGACATCTCTGGCTGGGCTGCATCCATGCTGTGAATCGTTGCGCTGCGCCGATGGATGTTTTCCTTGCAAAACTCTGGTCGGCGCAAACATCTGTATGGGGTGAGCTCGCATGGTGGCTGTACGGAGGACAACAATCGAGATTGAGTTGGTGTACAAGAAGCCCAACAACAACAAAAGCGAAGCCATAACTGCGCTTTCGTAAATGGCAACGACCATGTAAGTTTGCTAATGATACCAACCTAACGCTGGCAATCACGGCTGTAAATCATCATCGGACCTATTACCGCGTGCTAGCATTTACCAACCGGGGCTGTAGCTTCTACCACTGCAACTGTCGCATTAGTAGTTGCGACATTGCTGGCCGATGCAACACAAAATCGAGATCTTCCTATGCTCTCGCATCTGGCAGCCGTTCACTCGAGTTCTTGTACACAGCAAAGCTTTCTTCAGGTGGAAATAAGTTCGTATAAACACACCACTGAGACACACTGATGTGTTCATACGAACTTATCTTTTCACACAAGCAGATGGACATTTGTCGCGAATTTTGCAGTCAGCGCATTTCGGATTGCGTGGAAGGCAAATGGTTTGCCCAAAGCCGACCAGCAAGCGATTGATCGGGCCCCAATGGTCTCTTGGTAACCAGTCCTCAAGCTCCTGAATCCCACGCAGAAACTACTGTCAGCGTGCTAACGACCCTACACCCAACTGTATGCCCCGTACCGCTCGCGTCTTCTCCGGGTCCTGTGACTTGGGATTACGCACGTTCCACGTTTTCACCCAGTTGAGCCGATTCGAAATGCGATGAACGTGTGTGTCCACGCAAATACCCACAGTGCTACATGAAACATCGCTACAGTCAACAAGAAAGCATTTGACACGCGAGAGCGAAAGAGACGTACTTGTTCCACGCGCAGGTCATCACGAGTGTAGCCATTTTCGGCCCGACTCCAGGTAACGCCATGAGACCTTCGTACGAATCCGGAATGTCGACAACATCCTTCCCTTCAGCTTCGGCTCGTTTAGTCAAGATAGAAGCGACCTGCTTGATGTACTTGGCTTTCATGTTGAAGAAGCCTACAGGTCGGATCAATTGTGCCAGCTTCTGCTCCTTGACTTCGAGCATTGATTGCACTGTCAGGCCTACATCACACAATGCAAAACAGAACAGCAACAACGCTAAGCTTCTTCTTGCCAGCATCACAACTAGCAGCAACCCTCTTCAGCATCAACAGCAACAGCTGCACCATATACCGTGCTCAATCAGACGATCCATTGCTGCAGCGTTCACGGGGTCTTTGGTCTGGCTGCTCATCATTGCAGCAATCAGCACGTGGAAGCGACACACATGAGGCAATAGTCCCTTGCTGCTAAACACCTGCACGCACAATCAAGACGCGGCTTAGACACCTGGTACTGTCTCCTCTCGAGAGTTTCGCCGCACAGACTTGTACGCAAAAAGACGCACCTCACAGCCGTACTTGTCCACTTCAGCGTCCTCATTGGCCCGCATGTCTTCGATCCCCTTCCACATCTCTCGCCATCCAACAGGTTCGCTCCTCATGACGCGCTGCTCGGGTTTCTCCACTTTCTGCTTCTTCTGCTTGCGCCTCGGCCTCGTCAGCTCCACGTCCTCCTTCACAGCGCTATCGAGCTTCACTCGAGCCACGTGCTCGCGCTTGACGACGGTCTTCGAGTCCGTGTCGCTCTCGCAGTGACGACTGCGCGGTCGTCGCACAGGAGGCACCACCCGCTGTGCTTCCGTCTTCACGGCCGTGGCCTCATTCGTATCGACACTGAGCTCAGTCGTCGTGACACTAACGGTACTACTACTGCTGCGTAGACGTCGCATGCCTTCGGGTCCCTCTGTAGCGCACGTGGTGGCACCTGCAGTGGCAAATGAGCGATGCAGAGTGGAGGAGAGAACTCCCTCCAGCTGGGGACGAAAGAGTCGGCGACCGATGCGGCTGTTCTGCACTGCCCTGCAACACCAAACCATCCACAACCGGCTCTACCTCTGCTAATAATCGCGTGATCCGCTCCCCTTACCCGTGCGACAGTAGTAGTGTCGACGATGAGCTTCAGCAGCTCATCCGGTTTTCCAGCCACGCGACTTCTGCGGTCTGATACTTTGGTCAGTGGGTTAAAAACGACCTACTTTTGTCATTTGGCGATTCACATGCTGATTGCTGAATCCGAACGCGTCATAAACATCACGTGGGCACTTTTACTGGCGGCTTAACGAAGGTAAGTGCACATAGGCCGTTTTGGCAGACCAACGCTTTGTAGTTTTGCAGCATACGTCGTGTGGTAAGCATCCTGCATTCTTTCCCTCGGTGCATTGTTCAAGCTGTATTTCGACGAGCAACCACCCGCTTTTACAAGTAGCGTTTCATTCGACTATCGTGTGTATGTGTTTTTTGTTTTGCATGAGGTGTTGTCCCGCACATATATTTGCACAATGGAAGAAGGCGATGCTGCTGAACCAGGACCACGGCTTCACTCCATCCAACCCAAAGCCATATTTGGCAAGTCTGTTCGTTGATCGTCGACTCTTACAGCGTTGCAAAGCGCACACGTGCTATGAGGGGCACATTCGTTTGGCACGTCGTCGATTGACGAGTTCCTGGTGATGATACAATGACGGCTTTAGCTCTGGAGCCCCAACATGGTTTAAGTCTCCCCGAGCCTTCGAGGACTCACCTAGTCTCCAGCTCTGTCGCTCGTACGGTGCTCCTACATATCCTATCACGTCCGCATAACTGCAATGAAATGGCTCTGTCACAAGGCCATTGTGGCAGTGACTGAACACGCGATGGATAGTGCCAAAGACACCTCGGAGTGCAAAGCTGTTTTCCGAAGATCCTGCGACGATCAATCTTTTGCAAACAAAGCTGCGCCTTGTAATCTTTCGGGCGTCCAGTTTCTTTCAATGTATTCGCTGCTTTAACATTCTCATGCTGCGTTTTAAAACAAGCGTAATGCAATCGACTCACCCATGTACGAAAAACATTGGGCGATCAAACGCACATGCGGATAAGACTGTAACTGCTGACTTTTTGACCATCACTTCGAGCGTTTGAACGATGCAATGACGACATACAACATGTTGACGAAGCTCTGACTGGATTTAGGCTCAGATGTCATGTGGGGGAACCAGGAATCGAAGTATGTACAGGCGCGACCAGGACATAGCCACTTGTTGAGCAAAGGATGGATTGGACCTGGTCACCACTATTTTTGGACCACGGAGACCGATGGAACGAGCACGGTTTTTTTTCGTCCGTCCTCAGTCGACCGCATTGTACTGGATATTACACCACGCGTGCATACCACTGAATAAAAGTAACATGCTGGGTCCATTTGAACTTTGCGACTGCAAAGTGATTAGCTTTAGTCATGAGAAAAGGACCACAAATGCACCGGTTTTAGTCGATGCGCAGCAATGCAAGATAACGTGCGCGATTCGTGGCTTGACATTGATAGCGGTGGTGTTTGACCGGATGGGCCTCACTAAGGCACTTGCAACGAAAGACTTTGACAAGTGGCACTCACTGATGGATGTTGCCGTTCGAGCTGTTTCGAGTCGTGAGTGAGCTTGTACGTGGTAAGGATTGTGTCGCTTCTTACATCGTTGGTCAAATCTTGTTTTCTTGTATTTTATAAGCGTTTTAGGTGGCTCTCAACGATGCCAAAACAAAGGCTATCCATACTCCGTCATATTTAAAACTTTTGAAAAAAAATTTCCCCCCCCCCAATTTCCCCCCTCCCCCCCAAAAAAAAACAAGCGGGGATTTTTCTCCATTTCCCATTTTTTTTTTTTTATTCTTGGGGGAAAAAGGTGGGGGATTTTCAGGTACACGAGCCCCCCCCTTGACCCTTGTTTTTATCCGTCTGAAGCACATGCTTGCTTCAATTAGTTATGCCAGTCTACTGAAAAACGAAGCTCTGAAACCGATGGCATCAGTGGATACGTAAATGTATCCAGATGACTGTTTATGAACCGAATGGCGCTATCGATATAAAGGCAGAACAGTGAGAGTTGTGACATGTCTACATTGTCAAAGCATCGTCATTGTCAAAGATCGTCTTGGTTGACAAAGCTTCTTGCAGAGGCTTCGCAGTTGATAACATTGCAAAGGCGCTTGAGTAGTATGATGCAAAATTCGAAGTGAATACAGATTAGGTCTGCAGTTCGCAATCTCTTTTGTAAGTCGAGTCTGCTGGATTCCGCCGACTACGTTTTCGTCGTCGCTGTATTGTGCATCATTAATCTCCGCGTCGCGCCTTGCGAATCATTTGAACGTATGTTCGGCTATCTTTTGTATGCCGAGGCGCTTCTTCGACAACGATAGTCCACCGCTCATTTTTCAAAAGTTGAACTCGCCGATGGAAAGACTAGGAAGTCATATGTACGTGATATCGTTCGTTACAACATGGTGTTGTTTCCAGACGCTATTTTGTCATAACTTCGCGGCGGAAAAGGCACATTTCATAAAGTGTGAGCTTAGGGCACGGTTCTTGGTTCAGGTCATCGGTGTTCTGCGTCAGCCTCGAACAGCGCTTGCTACGTGCTTGTGATTCCAGAAGGACCTCATGTATCTGCAGATTCAGAACACGGCCATTAAAGTCTTTGTTGTGGCAAGGAAAGCGCAAGGGCTGCCATATGCGTCAGCTCTTATACTTCCGCGACGCGAGTGCACGGACGTTATCGTCCACATCAATCGGAAATGCCGTCCCGTATCATCCGCTGTCTCGGCACTCCAGCAAAAAGAATTCGAGTGTACGGGGTGCATAGATTTTGCACGAGTGCTTCCTGCTAAAGCATAATAACAGGCCACAACTGCAGATTACGTAGACACGATCGATACCTTGAGTTTAATCACGCTAGAACGCCCTCCCACAGATGACCGCAGCAATGTACATTGTGTGAGAGACCTATCTCACGCAATGTGTATTGCTCCTCATCACTTTGGCTCGCTGCACTTGGAGGCACACCGCTTGCCCACGAAGCGCTCGCGCGTACGAGCACTACTACAGTATCTCCTGCTTTCGCCCCATGATATATGACGTCAAGAAATGATTACGACAGTACACAGAGATAGTCCGACTGGTGGTCGCCACAACGGGCATGAAACAGTTGACGGCTGTGGGATAGGGTAAACCTTCTGCCCGTGAACAATGGGACGAAGCAATGGCCGCCTCGATTTGTGGTGACCAGACGCCGCCAAGTGGTGTTTCGTGCCGAGGCGCTCCTGTTGACATACTGCGTTGTATCAGCTACGCATGAAGTGGTGCTCTATCGTCGTGGTGAGCGCGGCGGTTCTCCAAGTCAGCGTGAATGCGCTCTCGATAGATGCACACGCTGCCACTCTTATCGAACGTGACAGGGCCAGCTCGAGCAGCAGGTTGTCGAGCGACATGGGTGTGACCAACGAAGAGAGAGGAATGTTGGGAGTAACGGCGTTGGAGAAGCTAAAGGGGTGGACGACAAGGCTGAAGGGGTGGACGACAGAGCTGAGGTGGTGGAAGACGAAGCCGAAAGTGGACAAAGTCGAAAAGAAGCTGTTCAAAGATTGGTATAAACGCGGCGAAACTCCTCAGACCGTTTTTGCACGATTTGGATACAAGGGCAAGAAGCCGGGGGAGATCATGAGCGATTCGAACTACATGGTGTACGAGAGATACTCCGATTTCTGGACAGGAAAGCTGTTGAAGAGAGGAAGTTTAATGACGCCTGAGCAATGGAGAGCGGAATTCGATGCATCAATGAAAGCGGCGGGGCTGTCTTAGTATGCTGGTTGTGCGAGGAACGGCACTACAATCGCATGTCTGGTGTGGCTGAGATGACGTTGAACAGGGCAAAAATCTCAAGCATGGCTGAGGTGTCATGCCGACGTGCAGCCTCCCACACTTACCTCTTTGTATCTCAGCTGGGGGTACTGTGGATGTCTGGCATTTGCAGAATGTCTAGAATGCGTGACCGGGCGAGCCCGTAATTTGTTGTTGTCCATGTCAGCGTAGCTGGTAGCTTGTTGCTGTTGTGACGTCCCGACCTGACGTATGTACTGTGTGTGCTTCGCAGCATAGAGTGTTCACCATCGGTAAAACGATTGGTAAATATGCGTATAAAGGTAGGACGAAAATTCAATCAAAGTACAATTTGGTCCCACATACAATGCCGACGGCAAACAAGGGCGTGCTCGTGAAATGGTACGTGCCCTGGCCTTTTCTGTGGAAGCGACGCATCGACCCGACGAAAGGAGACGTCCCCTCTGTAACATTGCGTGCCTGACAATGGCCATTTGCTGCTCAAAGCGACCCGGCCACGAAGCAGTATCTGCTCCATCTTAACGAAACTGCAGTGCAGGTGCGTAGTCGAAACTTGTCAAAGGCCTGTTATTGTGAGGGGTGGGTGGACTGTACTTGGTAACAACACATGGTACCGCCTGTATGGTTGTTGCTGTGCTGAACAACGTAGCAACGGTTTGTGATTGAAGACCTTGACGACACGCACTTGTTTATCGTGCCCGATCCCAAGGTCATCGCTTTTATCGAGAAAAAGATGGACGAGTGGAACGAAAAGAACACGTACCAGCCGCCGACGCAGTAACATGCAGGACAGTGCCGCGAGTATGGTGCGAACACTATGGCGGAACTGGCAGTGCCCCCCGCCTCGTGGATCAATCAAGGACGTAATTGTGTCGTTATCGAGGAACAGGTACCTCTGTGTTCAGCAGAACTGCGCTGCTCATTCTCTCTGAACAAGTGTACTTGCGAACGATGCAAAGGTACTACTGCGAGACAATAGACACCTCGGAAGGCTGTTGCGTGAAGCAGATGACTCCTTTCTTCACCACGTGCTCGATCGGAGGGTCGCCCATTTCGTATATGATCTGCTCCCACTGAGTCGCCCGCATCAGCACCAAGTCGCCCTGCTTGCCTGCTTCCAAACTGCCGTGAGAAGCTGACCGGTTGATCGAAGCAGCGGCATTGATAGTAGCACCCACAAGGGCTTCCTCCATCGTCATGCCAAACAAGACACAAGCCATGTTCATGGTCAGAGCCATCGACAGGCAGTGGGCGTTTGGGTTGTAGTCGCTCCCGAGCGCAACGGGGACACCCGCTGCAATCATATCACGGACCGGTGGACTGGGCAAGTTCAGCACGTACTTTGTCGTGGGAAGGAGCACGGCAAACACGGGCTCTGGCTCGTTCGTTGCCATCGCTCGAAGATCTTGTGCCGTCAGCATTTCGCAGTGCGAGACCGCACGTGCACCCAGCGCGCTGGCGAGCACACCCGACTGCATCGGGTGCAGTTCGTCTCCGTGGAAGTTGAGTGCCAGTCCAGCGTTCTTGCCCGCCTCCAGAATGCGGCGGCTGTCGTTGGCGTCAAACACGCCCTTCTCGCAGAAGACGTCAATGAACTCGGGCGACACTGTCCCGTCCGTCTTTGCCCGCACGATCGCTGGGATCTGCTTCGTCACGATGTCGGCCGTTGCCTCCGCAGCGGTCCGACCCTCTGGCACCGCATGGCCGCCCAAGTAAGTGGCGACGATTTCCACCGCGTGCGCGTCCGCCCCGACACCCACGGCGTGCAGCACCCGCAGCAGCTTGAGCTCCGACTCCGTCTCGAGGCCGTAGCCGCTCTTGGCCTCGATGAGCGTCGTGCCGCAGCGCGCCATGCGGTCCAGTCGCCTCCGCAGCAGCGCCGTCAGCTCGGCCTCGGCGCTCTCGCGCGTGCTCTGCACCGTCCGGTTGATCCCGCCGCCGCTCTCGTGCACGTCCATGTACGTGGCCCCCGCCAGCTTCAGGGCGAACTCGTGCACGCGGCTGCCGCTCCACACGGGGTGCGTGTGCGCGTCCACGAGACCGGGCAGCGCCACCAGCTCGCGCGCGTCCACGTCCCTGTCAAAGCGCACGGGCTGCGGCTGCGCGCGGAGCCACTCGTCCACGTCCACAGCGCGGCCGACGCACGCGATTGTGCCCGTGTGGTCCACCACGAGCGACGCGTTCGCGAGCACCGACAGCTCGTTCTGGGCCGCGCCGGCCTTGAAGCGCTCGCCATGGGCACAGACCTGGACGAGCTGACGCGCGTTGCACACGCGCAGGCGGAACGAGCTCATGACGAGGTCTGCCGAGGCGAAGACGTGCGCGCAGAGAGTCCGCAGTGGGTTCGCAAAGGCGCATTTCCACTCGGTCGTCGTTCACGTGCTTCAACAACGGCGAGTAGTTTTCCACGACCAATCACTGACTTGATCCAGTACTTTTGTCGCCTGCGGTCGTAGCTCTTCGAGACAGACTACTGCAATAGCAACAGCAACAGCAACGTCAACGTCACTCGACCCGATCTTTTGGTTCCGATCCAATTTCCTTTGCACTTGGCAAACGATCCCGTACACTCGCAACGATCGCCTGGCGTTCCGCACGCTGTCACACGACCATCACTCTGCATTGCGCATTCTGGCAAACACAAGACCATCACTCTGCATTCCGCACGCTGTCAAACACGCGCACGACCATCACTCTGCCTTCAACATGCAACTTCCGCATTCTTCGGCAGCGTACGTGCTGGCAGCTGAGCTCACGTGGACGGGCAACAAGTTCGAGCCCAACGTGCACGTACACGTGGGCCAAGACGGCGTCATCGAGTCGGTCAGACGCGTGACAGACGCCACGGACGTCGAGGCAGCGGCGGTGTTCCAGCTCCCCGGCCGCGCTCTGTTGCCGGGGATGGTGAACGCCCACTCGCACGCGTTCCAGCGCGGTCTGCGCGGACGTGGCGAGACGTACATGAAGAGCGCGGCGCACAGCAGCTTCTGGACGTGGCGCGAGGAGATGTACGCGCTCGTGCGCGACATGAACGAGCAACAGATGTACGACCTCACGCGCCAATGCTTTTCGGAAATGCGCGACGTCGGCGTCACGAGCGTCGGCGAGTTCCACTACTTGCACCACGGGCGGCCGGGCGAAGGGCAGGACGGACACGAGTTCGCCTACGACGAGACGGTGCTGCGGGCGGCGAAGGACGTGGGCATCCGCATCGTGCTCTTGAACGCGTACTACGAGCACGGCGGCTTTCAGCGGGCGCCGCTGGTGGACCCGCAGACGCGCTTCCAGGTGGACTCGCAAGCGACGTACTGGCGCCAGATGGACGCACTGCAGGCGAAGCTGTCGGACGTTTCGACCCAATCGCTCGGCGTCGTCGCGCACTCGATGCGCGCCGTGGAGACGCCGGACATTGTCAAGTTGCACGAAGAATCTGTGCGCCGTGGATTGGTGTTCCACATGCACTTGGAGGAACAGGAGCGAGAGGTGGACGACTGCAAAGCCGCAAACGACGGGGAGACACCGATGGGTCTCCTGTTGAAGCACGTGCAGATTGACGAGAAGTTTACGGCGGTGCATTGCACATGGACCGACGCGGCAGAGTTGAAGCAGTTTGTCGAGAAGAAGGGCAACGTGTGCCTCTGTCCTCTCACTGAGGTACCGCTTCTGGCATAGATCTGTCAGCTGTTGTGTCAACTGGTCGACTCACTCGAGCCATTGGTTACGTGTGCTAGGGAAACCTTGGAGACGGGTTTCCGTTCATCGCGGGTTGCTCTGACCGTGTGTGCCTAGGAACAGACTGCAATGCTCGTGTTGATATGTGCGAAGAGATGCGCTGGCTAGAATACGCGCACCGTTTGCACGAGGGCAGACGAGGTGTTTGCACCGACGCTACGTCAGAGACTGACCTAGCCGCACTACTCTTCCGCTATGCGACCAAGAATGGTGCTAAATCACTTAACTTGCGAGTGGTGAGCAATCCTGCCTGTTCTGAATGGCGCTATGTTCGCTCACTGTATTGATGCATGCAGGGCGAAATCAGAGAGGGATACGCGGCTGACTTTGCGTTGGTCGATATGGATGAGGAGCAGCTAAAGTTCGCGACTTCATCTTCACTGATGGGCGCCTTCGTCTTTGGAGCGAATGGCTCTAACGTGGTGAAGGCAACGTCTGTAAACGGCAAATGGCGCGAGACGGTGCCACAAAAGGTTCACGAACAGATATCCGCTGCTGTAAATGACGGATCCATTGCCGCATGTGTTTCTGATGAGCAGCAGATCCAGATCAAGGCCGCTGCTGCACTGGCGGACGCCAATAGTGACGACATTGTAAAGCTTGCGATTGGCCTGAACAGCATCGTTTCTACTTCCGGCGAAGAAGCCGCAGTGGGACAGGCCATCGGTAACTGGCTGACTGCTCGGGGTTGGCGGGTGCACATGCAAAGGGTTCCTCCACAGCTCGATGCCGTGGTGAAGGCGGACAGGTATGTTGGTTTCATTCCATCCTTCCTCCGGGCAAATGCACGATTTGAACTCAGCTTTCTTTTACACATGTTTAGATTCAACGTGTATGCTACTCGAACCAACAGCAGCACACCACGCCTTTTGTTTAACTCTCACATGGATACCGTTCCGCCGTTCCTTCCGCCTCGGATCGATGGCACGACGCTGTATGGCCGTGGTGCTTGTGATGCGAAAAGCCTGATTGCAGGCCAGTTGATCGCAGCACAGAAGCTTGTCGATGTTGGCTTGGGGGACGAAGTTCAGCTTTTGTTTGTCGTGTCTGAAGAAACCGACCACAGCGGCATGAAGAAGGCGAACGAGCTGAACGTGAATCCAGCTCACATGGTTGTTGGCGAACCTACCAATCTGAAGATGTCAAAAATGCAAAAGGGTATTCTTAAACTTCAGCTGACGCGCGAGGGTGTTGCTGCACACAGTGGTGAGTGGTTGGCTGCACAGTACGTGGCGTGCTATTGGGACTTACGTACGCTGTGCTGCACTTCTTTTGATCAGGATACCCCCACTTGGGCAGCTCAGCCATTGAACCGATGATCGACGTTCTCTACGACTTAAAAAAGGAAAATTGGCCCACGAGCGACGAGTTTGGCAGCACGGACCTCAACATCGGGTTACTGAAAGGCGGGCAAGCAGCGAACGCTTTGGCGGAACAGTCTTCAGCGATGCTGATGTTCCGTTTGGTGACTGATCCCGACGTCATCTACAAGCGTGTCGAGGTAAGAGCTTGATATCATTATTAGTTTGCCAAGTTGCGGTTATCGAAGTGGTACTTTGATGGATGCAGGAAATCGTGAACGGACGCGTGGATATGAAACTATACACGGCTAACGCTCCGGTCCACTTGACTACCGTGGAGGGTTACGACACCGACATCGCTTGCTTCAATACTGACATACCTTACCTGGACTTTGACGGCAAGGCCTACCTGCTCGGCGCCGGCAGCATCGTAAACGCGCACTGTTCTCGTGAGTGCATCCTTCTGGATGATCTGAAGGCCGTGGTCGACTGCTATTTTACCTTGGGCAAGCGGTTGATTGAAAGCGGCGAGTAAGGCGATTGTATCAGTAGTTCCGAGCTATCGCCGCAAGTGCCGCACCCTTTGGCATGTGAGCTAAGACATCATGCCGGATGCCGGAGCTAGTGCTCTTTCAACACACTGGCCCTCAGATCGAAAACGGGTTGGATCAAGACTCCCATTCGGCGCGCCATTGCGTAACTAGTGGTAAAATCCACACCGATGTGCGTTTGGCACTAATGTGCTTTTTGTAGCTGTCGAAGCTTCGCTCAAAGCCTCATACACGCGTTCCGGCTAATCTTGACGTGCGCCAGAGCAATCGATACGCAGCAAGCGCTACCGGGTCGATGCATGGCGCCATCGTTTAGTTTCCTCGGATTCCAGATCTTGTAAAACATGGCGATAAGGTCGCGTCCAAAGGTGGTACACAACATTATCGGAAGGGGCACAGGAGTCCCAACCTGACGTCCAGAGCCGAGCAGCCATTGACGGTTCTTCCCCGATAAAACAAGAAGCGCAACCCTTCGTCGTACGGAACTTCTGTGAGCACCTTTGATGGTGAGAAAGTCAAAATGGCAGCCGAGAAGAGCGATGATAATGGCCTGCAAAACAAAGCATAGTGCGCAAGCACACGTCAGATAAGATGCACTCGTTACAGCAACACAACACACTCGTTACAGCAGCACAACACTTGTCTGCCCAAACGGTGAATGTATCTGCAAGAGTTTTGCTACTTTGACGTAGCATGCCGCGGTTGTCAAATGGGGAGGCGCACAAAAGGTGGGGCGGGCCATCTGTCGAAAACTATGGTGGAATGGTAGTAGGCACAAGTTCGGATGCCCGATAGATGGTATCCGAGCAGCCGAATCCTAACTCTTTGGGCAGCGTATAGCCCAGCAAATACGCTGTCAAGATAGGCTTTGCCGCGAACGCTTTCGTAGCTCATCCGTCAGGACACAATCCCATCCAACACGGAAACGAATGCGGCTGTCGATATGGAGATGGAAATCCTCGTCCAGCCACAGCTTTTGCACTTGCCTCGAGCCAAGCACGGATCCGTCCGTAGCTTTTCGATAGTCTACCCAATGCATACGGACCTTACTGGAAGAGTACTTACTTTCCAAGTACGTCAAACTGTCATCATCAGCAATCGGTCATGCAAGCAAACGCAGATGAACACTCGGTCTGGATAGTATGTCCCTGCAAGTAAGTGATCGACTGTGTCTACGCTTCGAGTCACACTAACTGGGGATCGCAACAAAATGGAGGTCCGCTTTGACTGATGAGATCCATCTTATGTTACTGCGTATCGACGGTGTAGCACAGACTTTACCTCGGCTCGTGGACTTTCTGCATGATCAAGCACAGCTCCGGCTGGCTTGCCATAATACCCTATTGTCAAAGCCTTGCGCTCGCGACACGTCGGCAGCACCTCTACTTTGCAACACGGGCCACGAATAATAAACAATGCGTCAAGCTCAGGCGATGCATCCTAGCGACAAGCAGGCAAAAGTTTGGGGCCTTAGATACGGACGCGAAGATGACAACCGTGCTTGGGCGTCAACTGACACACCAGGTAATACAAGCACGTAACAAGACGAACCAGCTCGAACGGGATCCGCACTCAAAAGCACTTACAAACAACATTAGCTTCCTTTGGACGTACGTGTACGTGAGGATTCGTGGTCTCCGCCTAGACTGTAGTCGGCTTCGACACTTTCACTTGGCTGACCTCAGCTAGGAATGTAATTACACAAGTAATCATGAACGGTTGGACTTGATGTTGTCCTTGTCGCTCCATTTGCTCGAAAGAGGGTCTTCTACTATCTACGCGAAGTTGCGACGTCTTTAGCGGGTAAATCCTACTTTTCATAAATGCGGACCTGCGTTCTCGTGCTCGTCACAATGCAGTATTATTTATTGGCTGGAGTCATCATGAATACATAACCGCCACTCTTTCGCATCATAGCTGCACTTGTAAGAGAGGGCGCCCCAGTCATTTCGGGTCGACGACTTTGCCGTCCAAGTCTGGAGCATTTAAATCTCAATACGGTATCTAATTTGTAGCTCGACTCTTGAGTAGGGGTTATAATTGGTCCAAAGACATATAAGTTACGCCTTATTCATGTTAATGGCCCGAGCTTTCCTTTCGATTTATCTAAACACAAAATTTAAATCATCCCATTTGGCTCGGAATACAATAGCGACGATGTGTAGCAGTGACAGTGTCTCCTCTCTGTCACTGCTTAACATCGTTGCTATTGTACATGTTGCGTCGTACTGCATAGGTGGACTGGATCTTACCAGCACATATCATGATTCGAGCAGCAACGCAATCGATACCTTCTACAAATTACGATCGATTGTGACGATAGTGGGTTCACCGGCAGCGTCAACAAAGTCGACCCACTTGCTGCCGTGTGCTGATCGCCACCGAGAACTTGACCACCACCATTGTCATTTGCTTTAACCACACATGACAAGTTGCCGAGCCTTCTGTCCCCGTATCTGGTATGGAGGTGAGAAAGGACAAAGATGATATGCACACAATTAGGGAGGTGAAGGTGGAGCTGGTGCGGAAGCTGAAGACTTTGCTTAAACAACCGCATGTTCAGGTTCCCATGCCCATTTCTGGATCGTTTACATTTTTTTGTACGAGAATGATCAGCTGGATCTGAGCGAAGACGAGATTATGAAACATGGCAATGATTAGAGAAGGACAACGAAAGCAGTGGGCTAAGAAAGAAATGTAAGGTTGTCGTGGGAGCGCCCGTTCAAACTATTGCTTTCAGCGTCCTACGCGATGTTGTCTTCTTGATCGATGATCGCAGGAAAGCCAGTGTGCTAGTCGACGATGTCTTAGCAAGCTTCAACTCGATATCCGCACCGCATTCAGCACCCAAACCAACCTTCAATTGTGGTTGAAGTATACTTCCTGATCGACAATACACGTTGTACAATGACGATGATGATGTTTTGAGTTGTTGTTGAAGGTGCAGTAGATTTAGAAGCGATGGCGAGTAGCAAAACCCTTCGATAATGTCATGCACGCATCATTCGGTAGCACAAACGAGTCACATTTGCAAACGATCTCAATGTGCGAAGTTTTCATGCTCACTCGAGCTGACATGTGACTTAGTGGACATCGAATGAGCTCCGTGGACACTCGATTTGACAAGCTGCCCAAGGTCACATCTTAGTGGATGCTACCGGACGGAGCATTCAGTCTCAGCTTCAACGACTAGTTACAAAACCTCGAGGTATACTCGTCGCAGCCTTCCTTAGACAGCAAAGTATACACCGTCTGTCCAAAACGAAAGCCAACGTTTTTGACAACTAACGTCGATATCATGCGTTTTTTCGTCGACACGATCGGTATCAATAGTGTACCCATCTCTCTCTCGAGCCATACCATAAAGATGCCGACACTTTTTTTATTCCGACAAGTATTCCGACTAATAGATAATGTCTTTTGAATACGGATGGGTTACAATTGGGAGGAGCTATTGAATGGACGCTACATATTCTATTCACTGAATTTGGTTTTGGCTTGTGCTGACACTTACAACAGGCCGTGCACCACCAACAACAAGGGAGGCTCAATCCTCGCTGAACGGTGCTACAGGAAGAGACGTGATACTGTACAAGACACAGCTCTTCCGGTCGTATCTATTGGCGGCTGGGATAATGAGGTGCAACTAAAGGGTAAGTCAAACGGCCTGATGCGTTATTTATTACGTTCAAGACTAATTATCAGGCATGTACGTGTAGGGCAATTCATTCCATAGGTAATTCCACCATGCGTCAATATCGTGGCGTCTGCTAATTGACACTCAGCGACGAAGAGAACACAAGCGGCCGTGCAGTAAGTGAACGAAACGATAGTCGAAGTGTCAACACGTGCAGTCTGACGTTATTGTTGCTGTTCTGTTCTCTATATCATGTGCAGTCCGGTGTTATTGTTGCTGTCAGTTTTTCTATCTCGTGTGCAGTCTGACAGTTTTCTTGCCGACAATGTTGTTGCTGTTGACGCTGACGCTAAATATCGCTGTTGCTGATGATGTCGCTGCTCTTGATGCTGTAGCTGTTGATGCTGTAAATCTGTTGCTGATGCTGTTTTTGCTGTTGTTGCTGTTGATGTGTAGCTGTTGATACTGTAAATGCTGTTGCTGATGTTTTTGCTGTTGTTGTGCTGCTGATGCTGTTATTGCTGTTGATATTGCTGATCTTTGACGCTGATCTGTTTGGTGTTGCTGATGCTTTTGTTGCTGATGCTGTTAATACTGTCGATACTGATACTGGTGCTATAGATGTGGTGCTGTTGACACTATTGCCTCTCGTCTCTTCCGCTCTTGTGCGATCGGTGACTATACATGAAGAGGTAGAAGGATGCTAGTTTAAAAAGACAATGTCTCATTGATCAAAATATTTTGCCCATCATCTTTTGATTATAAAAGCATACAAACTAGATAAAATGCTGACGTTGCTATTTAATGCACTTAAGATAAACAGCAGCCTGCTTATTACTTACTAGGTAGACAAATTGTAGCGGAAGGTACTTTCGATGCCTTCTACTATGTGCAATATGTCTTGTGATTTAATGGAGATAGGTCCGAAATAGCTCTTGTTGCAAGCAACGCCTTGAACGTCATAATTTTCTTGTTTAAAGCTTTTTCATTGAGGTTGCTGCACGTGCTCAACGTTGTTGGCGCTAACGGACGTATCTTGCTGACGGACAAGCGACGTTTAAGACGCCCGACCGAAGGCATGCCACATTAGGCACACAAGTGCAGCGTCCTGGTAGTCTATTGAACATGCGGCAGTCGTGTCTATGTGTTCCATAAGTAATAGAAGCTAACCTTTCGTATATGATGAAGCTTTCGTTATGGATCCTCCCTCTCTTGTCCTGCATGGACACTCCAGGGTGCGCGCCATCTCGAGTGATATGTCGTACACGATTAATCTTTGTGAAGCAAATTGTTCTAGCAGCCACTTCGTAACTTGACTGTAGTAGGAGAGCCCAGCGTTTCAAGCTTCATTCTTTATTTCTGCCCTTGAGGTTAGGCGAGGCGCATGGCGAACTTCTCCATTACAGCGACGAATCACGCATCAAATACGTCACTGAGGATAAGACGTGTTTAGCCGTTTTAGTGTGGGGGACTCCGACGCGAGGAATTTCTTAAAGATGTTCACTGCCGTAGACATGGTCGACTTGGTGCTGGCTGGCACCAACGACTGAAGGCTCCTGTTCCTGCGCTGTCTAGTTATCGAAGTGTACGCTGCGTATTGAAATGCTTCAGTTCAGTTCACTGCGGCTAATGACTTGGCCGTTGTACACTGCGCAGACATACTTGAACACAAACCTCAGTGATTACGTTATCGTTCAGCGATTCCTTTGATGAAGTACTTTAATGGAGTCAAACCGGTAATTAACGACAAAGGGGCCAACTGTGTCGGAATCGTTGACACTATGCAACAGAGTATGCGCTAGACGAGGCCTTTGGATCGAGCGCAAGCATAGTTTGTTCACAAAACATGTCAAAGGACGTGGGCATGAAGTTGCCCTACCCCCCTAACAGTCCGATTCGCTGAAACGGCCACATGAACGAGCACGGATTGGCTATAATCAAATAGCGATCTCCTATTGGTCCACCACCGCATACTGAGGGCAAGTGTATTCTCGTGTGTCGCAACTGCGAGCGTACTCGCTCATCCACATGCGCAAGCGGACCCGCTGGGATTCCGACTCGCCTTCGGACGACGGGCGTCGCGCGGGCCGCCACCCCAAGCGGCCACTCCGTCCACGCGCCGTCCCGTCTACGCGCCACACGTCGTCGTCGACTGCCAATGCCCACGACGCGTGCGCCTCGGGCCGCGCCGGGGCGCCGCACAGCCACACAGCGGCACCCACCGCGCCGCTGCTGCGCCACAATTTCCATCTCTTGGGCTGCCGCAGCGTCGACTGCTACGCGCGCATTGGAGCGATCGACGAAGGGACGTACGGCGTCGTGTCGAAAGCGCGCGACAAAGCGACGGGCGCTGTCGTGGCGCTGAAACAGGTCAAGATGGGCGCCGACGCGAGTCGCGAGGGGTTCCCCGTCACGGCTTTACGGGAGACGAACGTGTTGCTGGCGCTCGCGCACCCGAACATTGTCCAAGTGCGGGAAATGGTCGTCGGGTCGTCGCCCGACAAGATCTACATGGTCATGGACTATGCCGAGAACGACCTCAAGCACGTCATGCAGCGCAAGATGACGGCGCCGTGGCTCCAGTCGGAAGTCAAGTACCTCTTGCACGCGCTCTTGAGCGCCGTGGCCTACATGCACGACCAATGGTACATCCACCGCGACCTCAAGACGAGCAACTTGCTGTACGACGCGCAAGGCGTGCTCAAGGTCTGTGACTTTGGCCTCGCGCGCAAGTACGGGTCGCCGCTGCGCACGTACACGCAGCTCGTCGTGACGCTGTGGTACCGGGCGCCCGAGCTGCTTCTTGGCGCCACAAAGTACTCGACAGCAGTCGACGTGTGGTCGATCGGGTGCATTTTCGCCGAGATGCTGCTGATGAAGCCGCTGTTTTCTGGACGTGGAGAACTGGACCAGACGGACCAAATCTTCAAGCTCCTAGGAGCTCCGAACGAGCAGAATTGGCCTGGAGTCGACCACGACGTGCCCAATGCAAACGTCAGCGTGCGGGGAAAGTGGCCCAAGCATTCTCGACTGCGGGAGAAGTTTCCACTTGCTGCAACGATCTCGGGCAGTGGCTGCGCGCTGTCGAAAGCAGGGTTTGACCTGCTAAGTCGTATGCTAACTCTGGGTCCGCGCGACCGCATTTCGGCCAGAGATGCACTGGCACACGAGTACTTCCAAGAGTCCCCTCCACCAAAGCAACAGGAACTCATGCCGACGTTCCCGGCGTAGATCAAGCGACGTCGCTCCACGAGCTTTGCCATAGCGCACGCTCGGTCCACACAGCAGTATTTACCGTCGACTTTTCCCGCCATCGGACAGGACTTCGTGGCAGGCAGTGGTGAGCCGTTGCTGCCAATCTTCACATAAGCCTGTGTTGCGAAACGACACTGACATGCGATTAACGCCTCGTAGACTATAGATGGGCTCGAATCATTGCGCCGTTGTCGACGATAGTTAAGTGACTGCATGTAGCTGTAGGAAATTATCGGAGATGTCGCGTGACGTACGACTTTTACAGCCGTCGATGGTCAACTGTGTAGAAGCAACAAACCAAACGCCTCTGTCATGCAGTAGCGTCACGAGGGTATTGTGCGGACAGCAGGGACATTCCAAGTTCGATCGCCCCGAAACACGGGGCCGGCAAGTACGACAAGAGTCAACAGGAACACGGGTACGACAGTTGGCAAAAGGTTGTAGTACTTTCGTTGCGCTACATGAACACAGTGAGCCCAATCTACTGCCAACGCCACGGCATCTTCCGTTCCCGACACTCGACTGTCGAGGCGCTTTACAGCTTGCTGGTCATGTCAATACTGTGGCTTTTCGCAAATGCCAGACCCTTCTGCACACTGTCTTGCGGCGAGATGTTGCGCTCAACCTGTCCCACGATACCACCTGGCAGCACAATCACGTGCGAGCGCTCCACACGCGTCCCGTCGTTCATGGAGCTGCCAAAGTAGCCGATCAATCGGTGCTGTGGGTCCGATAAAAGCGTGAACTTGTACTGCTGCGACGCTTTCCATGCTGACAGCTCGGCGGAAGTGTCGGCGCCGAGTCCGTAGACATCATAACCAGCAGCGTTGATTGTCTGTAGATTGTCGTTGTAGCCGCAAGCCTGAACAGTGCAGCCTGGCGTGTCTGCTTTTGGGTACATGAAAAAGATGGCGCCTCGCGTCTTGAACAGGTCCTGGATCTTTACCGTCGCCGATGCGTCTGTCTGCAGCTCCACGTCAAGCGTGATAGCACTGCCTTCAACAAGCTTGTCTGCGTTCGCCGGCCCCTTATCCTCAGCTGGTTGCTCGCCCTTAGCTAGTCCACCATCCTTAGTTTGTACATCTTCTCTGGCTGCTTCTCCATTCTCGGCTGACTTGTCTTCCACAGCTGGTTCCTCTTCCATCGCTGGTTCCTCTTCCATCGCTGCTTCCTCCTCCTTGGCTGGTTCCTCTTCCTTAGCTGATTTGGCATCTGTGGCGCGACTTTCCTCCTTCGCTGATTCTCCACCCTCCGTTACTTCCTCCTCCTTCGTTTGCTTTACTTCCGTGGCAGGTTTCTCCTCATTGGCAGGTTTCGCGTCATTCACAGGTTTCTCGTCATTCCTTTGTTTTTTTGTTCCACTTCTACGGCCGGACTCTCGCCCTTTGCCGAATTCTCCTCATCGGCTGATTTCTCCTTCTCGGCCGGTTCCTCATTCATTGCTGCTTCCATGCCCTCCACTGGTTTCTCTTCCTTGGTCAATTCCTCATTCTTCGCTACTTCCATGTCCTCCACTGGTTTCTCTTCCTTGGTCGGTTCCTCGTTCTTCGCTACTTCCATGTCCTCTGCCGAATCCTCTTCCGTGGCCAGTCCCTCCTTCTTAGCAGCTTCAGCGCCGTGCTCCGTCACAAACTGAACGGCACGGCTAACACTTGCCACAGGAGACACCTTGGCGGCAATGTCGCCCACGACGCCACCTCGAAGAATAACAACATGCGAGCGCTGCACCTTCGTGCCCCCCACGGAGCTGCCAAAGTACGAAATGAGTTCCATGTCGGGGTCGCTCAGGAGGTCGAACGGAAGCTCTTGTTTCGTCTTCCACTTGTTCAAAGCCGTAGGCGAGTCACGACTCAGTCCATAGACTGCAAATCCAGCGTCCGTTATCGTCTTGATGTTGTCCCGAAAGCCTGTGGCGTGGCACAAGCATCAACAACGACAACCACAACCACAACAACCCGAACGTCATGTGAGTGTCTGCTGTAGAGCGTTCAGCCCGATCTCGTTGTTTTCAGCCAATGAAACAAGAGCAAAAGCTGTACCGCAAGCTTGTGTGGTACACCCCGGTGTGTTGGCCCGAGGGAACATAAAAAAGACCGCCCCCTGCTGGCGAAACGTGTCCGCAAACGCTACTTCTTGCTCGTCGTGATTCCTTAGCGTTACTTCTTTCGTCGCACGTGTGCCCACGACCGCATTGTCAGCAGTCGTCGCTGCCGCCTTCTTTTTCATAGGGCGGTCCGAGGCGTCACTACCGGCCCCTCGCTTCAGTGCACGATCAGCAGGCGATGGAGAGCTCGCGGTCGTGCGGCTACGAGTGGACACCATAGCCAGTCGTCGCTCTCTCGATGTCGGTCGGCGCGCGCGGGTTCTTGCGGGCCTTTGGTTCGCTGTGGAGTGAAGTACCGTCGAAGTAAGATTGGGATCTTTGTCGAGGTTGCAGGAAGGTCTCCCGTGGCGAATCCGTGGATACTTAGTCGCGAGGACGACGAACAAGATTCGGGCGACAGAAACGGGACGACGGCGCGAGCGGCTCTGGACACTCCCCGTCACGCGAGCCAATCACGGAAGGCGTTGCGTCGGAGCCACGCTGATTACCAACTCGTTTGCCCGAACGCGGCTAAAAGTAAACAAAAGAAAGGACGGCCTTGCCTGACGTTCGAGGCGCTTCTGGAGACAGGGTCCACCCCCCATGGTGCCGGTAATGGCGTCTGATTGGACCACGCGACCGCAGCCGCTTAAAAGTCCCTCGCACAGGTAAACATCATCTCGAATCGAGGCAGACGAGCGATTGGCCACGCGGTCAGCATCTCGTTTCGCACCCGTGTGGCCTGGTCGTGGAGGAAAAATCGGCCCGTGCAAACGTATCCGTGTCGGGCGTGACAGCGACTACTTCGCGTGGTGCACGTTCATCTTCAGGCGTTCTTGTTACCGAATTGGCAAGAGATGGTAGATTAGGCAATCGATACTTGATCGGGTACATTCGCTTCGCGTGGCGGCGTCCTCTCAGGATGAGCCTGATGCTGAGCGCTTTGCAGACGTCTGCTTTAGTCGGCAAGCACGGGATACGTAGCGGCCGCGGCAACACCACAGAGATTGTCCTTTTGCGAGATCTTGATGTAGCCGCCTTCGCCCCAGTGTGTGCTCCACGAGTTCTTAATCTGCTCACAACATGATCATCAACATGGTAAGTAGCGGCTCTGCATCAAGCGATTGCAAGCCAGCGCGTGCTCGACTTACGATCGTGTACTTCTGGCCATTGTGAGTGGTCACACCCACAGCAAGCACCGAGTGGTCGAGGCTGTCCACGTCACTCTTGCACTCCGTGTTGTCGTAAAACCCGCCGCCATAGAAGTAGAAGGACGGTAGGGCTGCGTCAATCGACACAGACAACGGACCGACAGTAGCCAGTGCGTCATTCAGCGCCTCCACACTCGTTACGTTCACGAAGCCTTTCATCCGTCCGATAGCGTTGCTCGCGTTGAAGTGACAGTAGTCGGGTGCGTTGCGATACGATCCATATGTCGCAGTTGTTTCGAGCCCGCCGTTTGCCATGATCCATTCGTACGCCTGGTAGTCCAACCCTCCGTCGCACGCGTTGTTGCCATAGTCCCACCTGTCGTGCACAAGCAACATTTAGATTCGTGTTACGCTTTCGACTACGTTCAAAAAGCGGACGCAGCCCCACATACGAGCAATCCAGCAGATTTTGCTGAGACATATTGAACAGCTTCTTCTGCTGAGCAAACAACGCTCCCTCTAGTGCCCCGGTCGTTCTGAGCACACGAAAAAATGTCACAATGAGTGTGAAGCAGACGGAGACAACGGCTACATAAAAGGCATCTGCCAAACACACCCGAACGTCCAGCAAGATCCGCAGGTGCCTTGATCCTTTACGGGCGTGACGGCCCCCTTTTTCAGCCAGTCAATGTCTCCCGGGTCCCCGATGCTTGAGATTTTGTGCATGCTCAAAGCGCCGTTGTTCATCGCACGCTTAACGCGCGATGGACGGTGAAGCTGCTGCCGCTCTTCATGAGTCAGGTCTGCAAACTGGTTCACCCGTAGATGATACGGCAGTCCCTGTGAGCATCCAACACAAGCATGAGTCGTACACGTGAGTCCACCATGCTTCGAATACCACTTCCATCACTCGTTGCGGTTGCCATACCTTGCGGTTCTCGGCATTGATGAAGCGGAGGTTGTGATGGAATGTCGCCAAGCGTTGGACGGCCTCAGCTGTGTTGTTGTACGACTTGTCGTGCATCACCGAGAAGTTATCGAAAACCTCTTTCTTCATGGCTATGCCTTCCGGTAGGAGCATAGTGATCTACAGAAACAACAGCAAGCAGGCAGTGCACTGTAAGAACAACAGCAGACACTACAGAACGTTCTGGCAGGAAACTCGCACATCTTGCTTTGGGTTGCGGGCAGGGCTCTTGTCGTCCCCAGGCATCTCCGTGCAGTTCATTGACGCTGGCGGCGACGCGAATACGTCCTCGTCGACTGCTCCTTCGCGAACGTAGACATAGTCCAAGCTGTATTCGTCAATATGGCTGCCACCTAGCATCCCATTGCGCCCCACATAATGGAACCGCACAGGTTTCTCGGTATCTTGGTCGACATAGAGCGTGTACTCTCCCATCAATCCATCCGGCGTCGGTTCACGCAGCTTTGTCACAAACTTCCAGCTAAGACACGGCCGTCCTCCAACGAGGAACACGCCGTGCTGGGGCTCAAAGCGATCCATATTGGGCCAAATGTGCTGCAGGGATTCCGGGCCAGACTTGATGCACCTGCGTTGATGGATGACTGGGAAGATCTGGTAGCTGTGTCCGCTCGTGTTGTAAATGTACACGTCCGTGCCGCCATAGTAGCTCAGTTTCTGCAGCCCTTTCGCCTCGTCCACGTGGACGTACAAGGGCTCCACCATGTCCATGTACGGCATGTTGAACGTAACGCTGGCTTCATATTGGGTCGGGAAGACGACCCGTTTGGAGGGCACGAGGCGGCCCGCGTCCTCCACCGCGCGCAGAATGGCGAGAACCGCAATGAACCCGAGAATACCCGTGACCAAAGCGACAATGGCACACCAGATCTTGCGCGACTTCGTGCGTTGGCGACGGCTCGAGAGACTCTCGTGCCGCTCGAGACGGCGCGACTCGGCGTCGGAGCTTCGGTCTGATTGACGAAATACAGGAACAGCGAAGGAGAAAATCGACAGGAAGCAGTGAGTCAGTGTGTGTCTGTTCTTGACGATAGTTATGTGGGTATGCGATATCGACACTGCGTGCGGTTCGTAGTCAACGAGGCAGTGAGTTACCTGGGAGCAGTCTCTCCGACGCCGTGGCCTCGAGATCGTCCGACCGAAGCGGCGTCCGCGACTTCTTCTTGCCCATGTTCTCTCGTCCTTCTTGTGGGACCGAACGATCTTTGTGTCGCTAATCTGATTTGTAGCTATGGCGTGTGGCGACAGAAGACGCGTTTCAACGAATGACACAATTCCAGGCCAAAGCAATTATTGCTGCAATGTATTCATGTCCATTTGCACGTATGTATGTATTATTTGTTTATTTATTTAGTTAGTTATTTATTTATTGCCACTTCCGAGGCTGATCGCAACCGGAACCCGACCACGAAACCCCTTGGAGTCTGCCATGGAAAGCGTGGGACGCCTCGCAAGTCGCGCGTGGCCGCTGCGCCCGCAAGGGGCCCATCGAAGTGGCGTAGCGACTCAACGACTGACGAGGAGGAGGCTCGGGACGCTGTCGCGCTTCGATCGAGCGGCGAGACTGCTGGACGAGACCGTCCTGGAGCATCTCGTGTGTCCCATCTCCAAGTTCCCAGTGCGGTACGACACGGAGCGCGGGAGTCTCGTGTGCGACGAGATCTCCGTCGAGTACCCGATCTGGTACGGTGTACCAGTGCTCGTGCCGTCTGAAGGACGGATCCTGGAGGTGTCGAGCAACAGCGACGACCAGCACGACGATCGGACTTGACCGAGCGAGAGAGATTCCCGTCCAGTACACGCGAAGAGGTTTCCGTCCAGTACGTGTGACGATGTACCTACTGCGTCTCTCTTTGTCATGTCAGTAGTTTTTTCGTTTACTGACCAGCATCCACGCTCAGGGACAAGTTCTACCCATATGGACGGAAATCTGGACGAAAAAAAGAGTCAATGAACGTCATGTCACATACTCGGCGTGTCTACCACTGTTGCTGCATGCAGTAGTGCAATCGACTGTCAGTACTTCTGGCGCGTGGACCCACGCACGGCGACGCTTGCTGGTTCTTTTCGCCGTCCTTTCGAACGGGAGACGGGCGTGCTAAACTCCTCGTCAATACGCTCGAGCTCCATCATGTCTTCTACTTGGTCCTCTGATGCCTGTGACGTCGTCAGGTAATCCGACTCTTCTCGTGCCACTTCGACACGGGAGTACGTTGACACCTCGCGCACAAACTGATACCGTTTCGGGGTCTCCATGACAGCGTCAGAGTCCGACGTGGGAGATGGTCGTGTCGGAGTCTGCTGCACCGTCCGATTTTCACGTACATTCGTGGTTGTTGAGTCGTGGCCCTGGGCTTCGGCTGGAAAGCTTTCCCCGTTCGTGCCGTCCATGTAGTGTGGCTTCAGCGAGAAGTCTGCAACACAACCACAACCACAACAACGACACAAGCATGCTTCAGTGAGACACACTCGCTTTCAAAATGACCTCTGCATGTTGTCCCACCATCTGTAGAGCCTGTCGCGTCCGGAGCAGGCGGAGTCAAAGATGCGATCGCGAAGGTGGGATGGATCTTGGATCGAACAGGTGGAGTGCCAAGTGGACGACGAGCTACAAGAATCACAGCGAGTTTGTGCCAGTCAGTGTAAACGACACCCACAACGTGGGAGAGCCCAAAGCAGAGACCAAGCAGTTCTTACCGCCGAACGGAGGCATATAAGGCTGTACCGGCGTGGAGGGTGCGCGAGAAGCCTTCGTCGAAGACGATCCACCGTTCACCGCTCGACCTCGGACATCACGTGACTCGGTGGAATTGGTGGTACTGGGGCTCGGCTTCGTCAGCAAATCCAAAGACATGTCCGGGCCAAAGTCGATGGACTCGATACTGATATCGCTCGATGCTGCTGTCTCCTTCCCTTGGCCTTTTGGCCGTGTCGACGTCTCCGCGTCAGACACGAGAGCTGACGACGATTTCGCAGGCCAAGTCGGAGCACCGGGCGCTCGTTGGGACGAAAACATACCCGGAAAGTAGTCAAACTCACCAACGTCGATCGATTCTTGAGAAAATATCGAGTCGTCCGTTGGTGTAGAAGAAAAAGCGGCTCGTTTTCCTTCCGCATCGAACTCGGCAGAACGCCAGGACGTTGACGCTGAATCCACTGGTGCCGGCGTGTCAGAATCGGACACGTCTTTCATCTCATCATTTTCCAGCAAAGCAGGCTTGGTCAAGTGCTGGCGCTGGCGACCTTCTCTTTGTGCACTAAAGCTACTATTCCGGTGCGAGTACGACTCCGAAGGCGGTTCAGCGCACAGATTGGAAAGCAACGCTGCCCGAACACGCAAACTCGGTTGGTTCAGTACCGCCATCGCAACATCAGTATCGCCACGAGACATGGCTCGAATCATCGCCAGGTGTGTATGGTGAACTTTCCAGGCCTGCTCATACCTATTTCTGAAAGTATAGTACATCACAAGGAAGTCTACGCGCTTGATGTTCTCATCTCGTAAAACGTCTTCGTCTTTCGTGATGTTGCTCTCCATCATACACGCGTGAAACAGCTGCTCCTCCACGGGTAAGAAGGTCACGCGCTGAACTACCTCCTTCAGACGGTGGCTTTTCATCAACCAGTTGAATAGCACACTGAGCAGGTCCGGACGTTTTTGACTGCGTATCAAAGACAGCGCCTGCTCCCACAAATCCAGCTCCAGCGATATGACAACCATCAACTCTGTTGCAGCGGGTGGAGACTGTGCCAGGTCAAAGTTAAACGTGTTCCACACCTTCCATGCAAAAAGCCTTTCACCCCTGTGCACTAACGTTTCGAGCACGTAAAGAATCAGATCAGCGTCCAGATCATGCTTTTGACGAAGACGCGTTGCACGCGACAACTGCAAAAAGCTGACGGCGTTCTCGTAGATAGCAGCCACCTGATCCTCGCCTGACGTCTTCACCACGACCGCATTCTCCACCAGCCACAACGCGAGCAACGTCAGCTTCATATCTTCTCGCACGCTCAATTGTGCCGCAAACGAGTCGGCAAATGAGCGCATTTTGCTTACGATTTGGGCGCCACATTGGATGTGGTGCTTCCACACACTCAAATAGGCCCTGTCCAGACAGAAATACAACAGCAAAGCCACCCTGACCCGAAAGTAGCCTTCAATCGGCTCGCTGTCAACTTCGTTTCCGTAATACTGAACAACATCTTGCTGTACGGCAGATGCTTGCACGAGCTCGAAAAGCTGTCTCAAATGTATCGGAGGGAAGCTGTCACCAAGATCCTCCAGTGAGACGCTCGCGCTCTTCATCACGTGCTCGATCAACAACATCGGTTCCTCCACATCGCTACTGCATGAAAGCTTGCAATTGTAAATCTCTTCAAACTGTTCACGGTGCTTCGCGCGCAGCAATCTCACTTCGCTGTAAAATTCGTCGTACATCTCGCATTCGTCCGCCACTTCGTTTTCGTGCAGCCACAACATGCAATCGCAGACACAAGCCATGCTCTGTGTGCGACAAAGTAAGTACAACATGTTGCGAACGCCTTGAGCTGTTAGGTCAGCGAGCTCTGTCTCCTTTTGCACATTGCCTTCAGCATCAATGCCCGCGGAATAACAAGCAACTTGACGAGCGCCTTCTTTCAATCGCGCAATCAATGCTATTAGGATCGAGCGCAAGCCATGCAGCTGCCGCAAAGCATCGTCCATGGCTCCAATCATTGCCATGTGTGGTGCGTCGTCGTCGTGATCCTGCTGTTCGTGATCCATCAATCGAGCCACGTCGTGCTCCACCGTCTCAAGACGACGACGCACCCATTGCTGCACTGCAATCGGCTCCTTCAGCACGTACGCTTTTGCACCGGCAAACAAACTTTGGGACTGCATGGGCGCCTCGTGAGCACGGATATACGCTACGATCAGATGGGCCAAGCCGCTCTGGAGACACACGTCAAGGAGTGCACGACGCTGCACGAGAAGCTCAGCAGCCGAGTGCTCCGCATGTAGCGAGACGTCCACATTTGCGCGTTGGAAGATGCCAGAGACTGAGAAGAACTCAAACGTCTCGGCAGGTTCCACAAACAATTGCCATCCAAACTCCGCAAAGTGCTCGAGTACCTGCAGCAGCAGAAGGAATAGAGAGAGAGAGAGAGAGACACACACACAAGAGTGAGGCAGTAGGGGGATGTGTGAGCCCGTTACTGGACACGGACAGCGAGAATCACAGAGTCACGTACAGGCAGGAGCATCGCTTGTTCCCGTCCAATTGAATTGCCGCTGGTGGGCTCTGTTTGATTCGCTCGCTCGCTCTGTCTATCTGTCAGTCTGTTGTGGTGGTGGAATGGCGTCTACACCGTCACACGTGATTGGATAATTTAAGACGGACGATAATAGCGTCGATGGCTACTGGAGAAATCCGCTGCTCTGCGTTGAGGTGTCGTACATCGAATTAAACGTGTTGAAGGCGACAGCACTGCTGAGAACGTCGCTGAAGTAACATGAGCCCGCCGACGGCTGCCCCGATGTGGCAGGAAACGTCAACTTGGCTCGCCCTGGACATTTGAATGAGCGCGATGAGCTGCGCTGTCGTTGCGTGCCATTTCACTGCAACTACTTGCAAGTAGGTCGAGACTCGACCGCGTCGATGGCCGAGAGCGTGACGCCGGTCGACGACAGATGCAGTCAGTCTGTTGCCATCGCATTCACTTGGTCACGTACTGCAAGTCTTTCGCACCTTTTCCATGTGACCTCATGATCAAATTGCCCGCGTGTTCCACGCACGTACCATGTGTTGTTTCGGCAAGACCTCTAGCAGCAGCCGCTTTCGACAAAGCGTTGTGCTAACGGCTGAGGAAGGCTTTATCATTGCATCACAAGAAATGCAACAGCTCTACCTCCCATTGCAGTGTGTGTTTGTAGCTGATGCTGTCCGTCTGAGCATATACGTCGTAGGGATATCTGTCCCTGCGTCGTAGATACCTATCTACGATGCAGTGGTGTCTCGCGTCTCATGCGATGCTACTTCACCATTGTTCGGCTCGATTTTTTCGTGACCGTGTTGCCTACTTTACGTGTACCACACGAACACGCAGCTCGTCCACCTACGCGCAACATTCCACCCGCTGACGCGTCGCCCTCAGATAGCTATCACTCGACACGGACCAGCAGCATGAACAGGTACGTTTGTGCTCATCGTGACAGCGTCTTGCACCGCCAGCGCTTCGGACGCAGTGTCTACGACGTGTGTGCGCTGCGGAGTGGAGTGTACTGACAGTTGTGTGCTGTTTCTGCACGTCTTGCAGCGACGAGATGGACATAGCGCTAATGATGTTTGTCAACTGCCTGGGAGCGGTGATTATGGTGTCTGTGGTGAGTTTCCACTACCTTACGGCGAAGCCCAAGGACGCTGACCTGTAGAATCGAACAGAGACGTCCGTGCGAGAGGTAAGGAGCAGCTGGAAGATCATATTTGGGGACGCGATGCAGTTTACAAGTGCCTTTTGCTGACCGCTAACGTCGTGAATCTGTTTGCAATTGTCCAATCTGGCAGCGCACGTGTCAACACCAGCTACGGATTGTCCCGTGCCGAGAGCAGGTTCTCCATGTGCCCGTGGATGATGGAACTTGAAGAGAGAGAGACGAGAGTCCATTTGCAGCGCTGCATGTCATTTCAGAGAGGATTTCGTCAACAAAATGTTACTTTCGCTGCAGTGTAGAAGCGCATTGTCGTGTTTCGTTTTTTGCTTACTTAAGCGTTACGCCCACCAGCGCTGGGAGTCGGGTCACACTCCTTTTGCATTGGGTCCCTCCTCTCTCGATGAGCTCAGGACGTGTCATGGTGCTCTGCGAGCGCATCATGAGTCGCGGCTATGAACCGCGCGTGGCACGTCTCATGGAAAACGTCAAGGCCATCGTGCGTGCTCAGCCAGGGTTCATCTCGATCGACACGTACGCGCAGGTGGAAGACCACACAAAATATGTCGTTTTCTCCGAGGTCAGTGCTTAGCCACAGCGATTGAGTATGTGGTCTTATTGCTACTTCACCTGTCGTAACATTTGCTGTAAATGCTGTGGTAGTGGGAGTCCAAGAAGAGATTCGACGAGTGGCTTGCGAGCAAAGAGTTCCAGGACTGCACACATCAGATCAACGAGCTACTGGACGCGCCCGGAGTGCACATGCGCGTCTTCAAGACCCCGAAAGACGACGTCTTCCTGCTGTAAGCGATTGCAGACCGCCCACATACTCTAAACCTCTCGAGCTGACAGAAGGGAAGCATGTTATTGCAGTCTAAGCTTATATGGCCACTTTGTGCTTGTGCATTTGACATGCGTTCATCATCATCCCGTTCCCCTGCCAGTCATGTCTCGCGTCGTCTGGAAGCCCAAGTCTCGTTGGCAAACGCAAACGCTGGAATTTGGCAATAGTGAACCACGAGAGTCGACGCCACTGGCACCTTTTGCCCATTTGCCTCGGAAACCTACTGCCGACGTCACTCGTTTTTGCGACTAATTCGACTCTTCGGTCTTGCAGCCCTTAATAAAACTCTTTATCCGATCGACAGTGTCCCGCACCGACTTGGTAAACGAATGCGGCTTGCTGTCTGGGTCGTCACCTTTCTCAACGCGATCGTTTTCCTCCTTCAGAAACTCCTGCATCAGCTCTTCCTGTCGCGGCGATAAACTCCTACACGACAGCAACACTGTTAGCTGACGTTCTACGACCAAATATGTATCACCCACACAGCTCGCGCCTGCTTGGCCAGGTACGTACTTTGGAACGCAGACCTGTAGATTTACTAGCTGCGACCCGCGGCGGTTCGAATTGAGCTCCTTGATTCCCTTGCCGCGCATCTGTAACACTGTCTCTGGCTGCGTTCCACGCGGAATCTTCATCTCTACTTCACCTGTCAATGTAGGCACCACAACTGTTCCTCCCAATACGGCCTGTGCTACCGAAATGGGCACATCGACATAGACATCGGTTTTGCGGCGCTTGAAGAACGGATCGGGCAACACGTGAATACCGACGTAGAGATGTCCCGCTGGTCCACCACGTTGGCCAGGCTCGCCCTGGTTCGCCAGTCGAAGATTCATGCCCTGATCCACACCTTCAGGTATCTTCACCTCTACTGTGCGTGGTTTCTTGACCGTTCCTTTTCCATAGCACGTTCCACACGGCGACTCAATAATCGTTCCTTCACCACGGCACCGACGACATGGAGACTCAACTGCAAAAAAGCCCTGCTGCATAATCTGTACGCCCGATCCGTTGCAAGCGGGACACGTTTTTGCCTTGGTGCCAGGCTTGGCCCCAGATCCGTCGCACGTGTCACACTCGACATTGGTAGTAATGTTCAAGTCGCGCATCGTACCCTTTACAGCTTCCATAAAGCTGAGCGTCAAGTCCACTTGAATGTCAGCGCCTCGTTGCGGCTGATTCGCACTGCGCCGTGGTCGTCCACCACCAAAGCCCTGGTTGCCAAAAAACTCGCCGAAAATGTCTTCAAATCCCTGTCCCTGAAACCCCCCGAGGGGTCAAACCCTCCTTGCTCGTCCACGCCCGCGTGCCCGTACGCGTCGTACTTCTGCCGCTTGTCGTCGTCGCCCAAGATCTCCCACGCTTCGGTCGCTTCGGCAAACTTCTTTGCAGCTTCGGGATCGGCCTTGTTCGTATCCGGATGATGCTTCTTTGCAAGCTGGTAGTACTTTTTCTTGATCTCGTTCTTGCTGGCATTGCGCGCGACGCCGAGGACGTCGTAGAAGTCGCGTTTCGAGGGCTCTCGGACACTGCGTGTGCTATGGAACGACGCCGAGTGGCGACCGAGCAGCGCGGCTGCGCCGTGTGAGAGTGGCAGGACGGGTCGCCGCAGCGCCACAGCGCTTCGAGCGCGTCCTGTCGCGAGGCGCAGCGCTGCTGCTTTCATGGCCATTGACTGCCGCGGACCGACGACGTGACGCGCGAGTCGGATAGTGACTGGTCGAGCAGCTCCACTTGGGTGGACGCGCTTCTCGAAACCGTGAGAGCGGCCGGGGACGGATTTTGACCAATCGAAAACGCGGGCGCCAGTACCACAGAGTACGGCGAGCCACCAACCGACCGACAGACGGCTTGACCGACAGTGGGAGCGTGACGTCTGCGACGTGTGCGAACGGACGCAACCGCCAGCGGTTCATGCGCCTCCTCCACGTGACCAGTGTCGATTCCGTTACATTAAGCGCACGTGAGTGACGTGGTCCATGGCCTTTGCAATACGCACATTTGCATCGATTGGTGCACGAACCGTAGCGAGCTATTCGTTCGTTCGGCCGTGTCAAGGCGTTGCCTGTCTCTCGATAGAGAGAAACTACGCACAGGAGCGCACGCTGACTGAAAACGAGTGCGAAACTCTGTCGCATGCAGCGAATACTGACGAGACCTTGCGACCGCAGAGACAACGAAAACGGAGTGCGACCAGTGGCGAGCTGGTTTGCAATGGTGCTGTCATTCACGCTCCAAGTTGCAGAGACAGTTAGCTAACGCACGTGCCGGTGTTGTTGTTGCAGCCCGTAGGGCAATTGTACGAGCGCTGCGACGATCACAGCGACGAAACGGGTGCCGTGTCAGAAGACTCGACAAGAGTTGCTATCGTCATACAATGAAAGACGGTATCTTTCTGTGGGGTGTAGGAAGACGCGGCCGAGTCTGTGGGGGACGACAAAGAGCCCGGAGGGTCTCGTTACCTCTTGATTCCCGTTCGGCTTTACGACAAAGTCGTAGCGACACGTTCGTGCATTGGCATCACACAAATTCGTGCGTAGTTGTCACACTGCCAATAGCAATCAATGGCCCACTTGCCAAAGTGGAAGTGTTGGAACATACTGCAATGATAAGGCCGTCAAGAAGGCTGAGCCATCGACGAAACGCTTCGAGTGTCACTCACGTTCCTCCAGCTAAGATGTTTCTCTGCGCGTCATTGCTCGCTGGCACTTTCTTGCTAATGCACAAGAGACGCAGAAATGGCAACTGCTGCAGTCTCTGTGTCATATGACAGTTACGCGCGCGACGTTCTTCAAAGCGAAAAAGTCGCCAATTTGCAGCCAACCAGTGTTTCGCTCATCTCTTCGTGCAACACCCTACAGGTAGAGCCCACTGCTTCGTGTGCTTGACGACGTCCTTATGAGTGAAGTCAGGTATAGGACGTTCGGGCGATTCTTTTGCACAATCGTCTTCAAGTTGCATACCTGTACCGGAGCGATGCACACGTACGTTATGCTGTGGTTTCGGGTTTGCACTACCAACGACTGCAGTTGGTCCATCCTACGCTTGCTCGTCGCCTGCCATAGCAAGCGTCAAACACTGGAAAGCTGACTTGCGCGTAGCTACAGGCTGCGCGACATTGTTCTTGTACTCGGAGGTTCCCTGACACCAAGTCGGACAAGCACGTGTCAAAAAGTCAACATGCATGGAGCGGTACAATACCGTCAAGCTGCACTTGGCCTGGCGGCTGGTTGGAACGAGTCGGACGCGCCAAGTGACAAGCAAATAACAACAAGACCCTCGGGACACTCGCGAGGCTTGTTGTTCCGGTCTATTGAAAGTATTGATACATCCACAATTCCATCACTCGTCTTCCGTCTCGATGCCGTCGTCCTCGTCTTCCTCATCTTCATCCTCCCGCTCGTGGCTGCTGCTGCTGCTGTCGTCGCCCCTGACCCCATTGCTTCCCTCTTCTTCGCCTTCGTGGTAAACCACTGCAGCACAAGTCTCGTCGTCTTCCGGCTCGGCGTTCGCGCTACTGGTCACTTGAATCTGACCCAGCACAAGCGCCAAGCGACCAGACAGCTTCTGCATCTGTTCGTGCACCTGCAGTCGCGTTTCCAAGAGCTGGTACAACCCCGAGAGACTCGACACGAGATCAGGCTGAGCCACCAAGTACGCCGTGTGGTGCAGAAGGATCGTGCGCAGCCACGGACAAAGACGCGAAAAGCGGTTTGGTGAGCGTTCGAGCTTGCGAACAATCACCTCCAGCAGCGCCAGCACACGGGGGGGCGACACCCGCGCTACAGTACGCCCGACGATTTTGACATCGCGAAGACGCAAGCAATACTCGAGGAGCGCATTGTCACGTGCCTGCAGAGCCTGTTCGAGCACACTGGCAAGCGACGACGCATCGGGTTTGTCTTCCAGAGGAGCTTTGTTCGCCGAGGTCCCTGTCTCCCGCTTGGCACGGCTAAGCGCACTAGTCACGTCGCCCTCAATGCGCTCACGCAGAGCCTCCACACGCTCCGCCAAAGTAAGTTCGTCATCTTCTTCGTCCGCATCGCCATCCAATCGTTCGTCAAAGCTGATCGTGTCGTCCGCGACAGTCATCGAGTTGACAAGAGCGCGGCGCTCGCTGAGCGTCGGCACGTACGTCTTTTCGTCCTCACGAGCTGCCTCGACTTTTGGCCGCTTGCTGCTGCCGTTGGCTACAGCTGCTTCGGCCCGTTCAGCCGAGAGCAGCAGAGCGTCACTGATCGGAGCAAACTCCAGCTTCGCCTTCCACTGACTCGGCGCGTCCTCTTCCACTAACGACACTGTCTCAAACACAGGCTTTGCCACCGATCCACGGGCAACCAGCACTTGTGCTCGCGCATCCGTATCCTCCAGTGGGCTCAGCTCTGCCAGCAAAATGCCAGCGCTCTCAGCAGTCGACAGCACTGGCCGCAACGGCTTCGCAGCCAGCGCCAGTTCAGACGCGTCGTCTACCTGGTGATACTTGTGTGCCCACACGAACATCGCCCCGGCAGACGTCGTGGCTCCCACCAGCAAATCCACCACCGGCTTGGCCATCTCGCTGCTCTTGTCCTTCTTGTGCTTCTTGCTCTTCTTTGTCGGCGCAGGCTCCCCGACGACCGCTCGAGCAAAGACACTCTCGGCGCTGCTCGGCAGGCCAAACGTCAGCGCCGGCGCGTCGTGTTCCGTCAGCTGCAGGTCGTACATGTTCACAAACCGCGCGCCAGCCGTCGCTGCAAACAAAAACCTGGACGCCTCGAGCCTGTCCGCACTACTACTACTACTACCAGCAGCAGCAGCGAACCGCAGCTGCGTCACGGCGGACGACAGACCCGAGACGAGTTTCCTGCTCTTCTTGCCCGAGGACAGGTCAAATGTCCGCAGCACAGCAGTCCCTGCAGCGAGGATCGCGCCGTCGCCCGAGACGGCTAAGGCCGACGCGCCGCCCGAGCCAACGCGGAACGTGCGCTCGACTTGGGCGGTGCTCATGCTCCACTCGAGCACGTACTTGTCACTGGCGCTGCTGGCGTACAGCACACTGCCCTGTGGATTGAACGCGAGCGCCTGCACTGCTCCGTGGCTCGCGTCGTCCGTCTGCAGCGTATGTTTGACGCGCCCCGTTGCCAGGTCCCAGACAACGACAGCGCCAGTGCTGGTACCGAGTGCAACGAGGCCCAAGTCGTGGCCGCTGCTGCGCTTCTTGCGCTTGTGCTGGGGCTGCGTCCAGGCGAGACACGTGACGGCGTAGCTGAGGTGGTCGCGCTCCGTGAGCTCTTGCTGCAGCGCGCTGCTGGCCACGTGCCAGAGCTTGAGACGGCCGTCGTCCGACACGGCGGCGAAGTGCGTCTGCGCGTCGGCAAAGAGCGGCATGACGGCCAGAGGGGACAGCACGAGGTCGGGTGCCCGCAAGACAAGATGGAGGATGAGTGGGGCACGACGGCTCGATTCGACTGGAGCAGAGGAGCTCTTGGCGTATGCGCTAGCGTGGGTTGTCGAGGCGTTACTTCAGCGCCCCTGTTTTGTGCTGCGCCGGGGCTCGGGTGTTTGTTTCGTGGGGGACGTCATTGGGGGAGTCGGCCGCGTTGACTGTGGGTCGTTGTTATGTTCGACGTCAAAAAGAGCAGAAACGATAAATAGGACGCATAATTCTGGCCTCTGGTCACTGTCGAACCGGATGACCACTGAACTCGACGGTGTAATTTACCGTCGAAGGTAACATTCCATCAACATTTGCTTCCGAGGGGGAGTATTGGAAATTGTTGTCAGTGAAGACAATATTTACATTGACAATAGTGGTGTCAATGGCATGTCATGGACTGACCCCGTCACATGTCAGGTAAGTGCGCTACCATTACCCTCTAGAGTCGACGTGACAGACCTTGGCTTGCAGAGGGTCAGTCGGCTGTCGAGATTGCGTCAGCACATTATGACTCGTGATTTTGACCGAAAACTGGGAATGGATGCGCTCGATCACTATATCTTTATGGCGGTATAGCGGGAGGGCTATATCCTAAGATAGGCGAATGCCGGCGCCTTGTTGTGTTTCCGCTCCAACGACAGAAAAGTGGAGCTTCAAAGCCCGGGGTTGATAATTTTGAGGGCAAGAGCAAAAGATCGTGCCATAATAGTTACGGGATGTTGCAAAGGCGCAATATGTGCTAACGATTACGTCAACTCGAGTTCAATGTAGTGCTACGCTAAGTGTTTTGAAACGGTGCACATGACTTTGACTAAATGAACGCGAGAAGCTTTCTCGGCTTTGCTACTGAATTGTAACGGTGTAGCGGATTGTCAAACACATATTGTAAACATACGAGGTTGGGTGTCTGCTTTATAAAATGTCAAATTCCCATAACCACACAAGTTATGGGAAATTGACATTTTATGAAGGAGATTGCTTTGATCACAAGGCCACCGCTTGTTACTGTTGGTTAGTGATGCGGTACTCCTCACCGCCTTGGAAAATGGAAGTCGTATAAGATATGTCACTTCTTTCCTTTGTTGACTTCGGTCGTCAGATACTTCGTCTGACGCCAGTTGGTAGTAAAACGTACCCTCAACTTTGTATCTCGCGATCCTTGCGAGCAAGAAAACCGGTACACCCTGCAATGGGCGCACCCTTGACTGGAACGAAACTTGCTGAATGTAGTAAATAGCTCTGGAAATCGTACAGTACCGTGTTTATTTTATCTTACTTGACCTGGATGGCAAATATGTTGTCATCGCACGATCGACGTGTCTTAGAAGGCGCGAGTGATGGACAAGCTGACAAAACCTACCCACTTTGATGTCTGCCGAGTTTTCATCAGATGCCATAAATGAACCATCTGTCGGAGCGTATATAGCGTCGGGTCATTTTGCTAGTGAGAAGGGTGGTCTCACCTATAGACGTAGATAATTCAAGACAAAATAGGCAGTGTGGTAGACAGCCACACTCGTAAGTAATCTGACGGTGTCTCTACGTAAGCACATGGAGCGTCAAATACTACTTTTCATTTAGGTCGGGCGGACTGAGGCACTGATACCCGCCATTTGTGCGGCATCGGTGACAGAATAAAAGACATTTTGCATAAAGCTGCAACAAGTTTATCGTAGAAAGATTGAGGAGACGGTCAGAATAGATCTCCCTGTTGTATTGCTACCACGTCTATCGAAACTGATGTAATTAGTCTTCCAAATCATGAGAAATCAGACTCCATAACGATATATGGAGCAAATTTACATCGACAAATCAAAGTAAAAAGTCGTATCGCAGTTGCAACAGCTTCGTAAACAAATCTTACCGTTCGGCACCAATCTTCTCGACCGATTGAAAGTGGGTCATGCGAGGAAAATGACGTTCCCTCATAGATCTCCAGCCTTCTCTCTGCGCAAGCTACTTTAGATGAAGAAAGTGCACCGTCGTACTATATTGAACATGCAACGACCTTAAAACGTCAATATTGAGAACGGGCGCAATTGAGAACTGTCAAAATGGTGTCAACATGTATCATACTTTCAGCAGTGTATCTGATACATTTTTTCGATCAGATCATTCAGATCAGACCATTTAAACTAAACTTGACCTTCATATCCAGAAGTGCTCGATTGGTAGTTTCTTTGCTCGATGTCATGGCTTCCACCAACCACCTGTGGAGTAAGGTCATATCTTACCTCCAAAAGGAATATTGTATCGGTATTGACTCGCACGGGTAATTTATAAAATAGTATTAATGAAGATAGTATTTTACATTAACACAATCGTGCCAATGACATGAAACGGCTCACTGAGATACACACACACTCCTATCACAGTGGTCATATCTTGATGGCCGCAATGTTGCGAAAGTCGATGGGTTTTACATCGGTTCCATCTCGACGTTAATCCACTCTTCCACTAATCATCAGAGTAGGTTATCGAGCACTGACAATGTGGATGACGCATACTTCCCGAGTGAGAGCTTTATCGACGCAATAAAGTCGGGATAGTGGCAAGAAAAACGAGACGGACCGACGACTGTGACTCGCTACGCAATACAACTAGTGATCGGTCTGTGCAAACGCATCATTCCTCAGTCTCCTGTGTAAGAACCAAGACTCCAACTTCACCTGCGATCGTCTCACGTGGCTTCACAAGCCTTCGTCACGTACTGGACGATCGATTTGTGCAATCCGCAAAGTGCACAACGCCATTAAGCCGTATTTACCGCTTGAATGCTGGAAGACTAGAAAACAAGTACGCTCAGATAGTGGCCTAATTCCGTCAGTTAAAGCTACAGAACTGCTATACGCCTTCTAAAAATAGTGTATGTAGTAGAAGACATGGTCGTTTGTTTTACGTGAGGTATACCCGCCTGCACGTGAGCAAGTTGCCACACTTCCAAGTCGTCGGGGTTGACTACGGACGCCCCATTACTGCTTCAATGGATCGTAAATACTCCATTTTTGGTATTGGAACGTGCAGGACACACCTAACGCGTTCAGCCTACCCTTGCGCTTTCTTCTAGATAGTTGACAATTGTCCTCGTCGTTCCAAACTTGCGCTTTACTGATCTTCGTCATGATCGGTTCCTGACTTGTTGTAGGGACTTGCGAACATGCCTTGCAAAGTTTTATCGTTCGGCTCTACGCTCCTTTGCACGCGAGGGTCTCTGTGCCAAATATACGTATGCGCATCAAAATGGTGATCAGTGATCGATAGCCCACCTTGGCAGGCTGTAAGCTATCCACTCATGCCGTCTCAACGCCGTTCCTCGTCTCTAAGTCCTGCGTCTGCATCCCGAGAGCTTCGTCATAGCTCATCTTGTGTGCTCAGCTTGAACTTGCTTACACAAACTTGCGAATCGATTGTAGCCCATCAATTTTACTTGTAAGCTCCAACGCTATGATGCTGGAAGCCCCCAGTAGTGCACGGTGTGTGTGTTTGGTCAATCCATTCCTTTACAACCCAGGGTATGGTGCATCCATAAACTGCTTTGAACTTCCACCCCACATCCGCGAAAACCGTCGTCAGCAATCTCTCATCCGCCATTGCTATCGTCGATAGCTGCCTGTTCGACGCTAGAACATTCAGACTCGGAAGAATCGGATTCGGAGGTAGCAGACACCTAAGCATCGCCGCTATTGTCGGTCTCCAAAACACTCTGTTCAAGCTCTTCCAACGCCCAGCCTGTTTCGTTCTTGCTGAAAGCAGCAATATGAGCATCCAGTTCCGTGCTGATGCAAACTAGACACTCATCAGCAACGGACTGAATCCACACGCAGTAGTCTTGGATATACAGCGAGTTCAGCAGATACTGCGTCTCCGATTTTTCGACGATCCGATAGAGTGCAAGCAATGCTCGAAGCACAACACGCTTGCCCCGCTTCATGATTTCGCTGGCCTCGCGCACCGAGCGTATGGCCAAATCGTACTGTCGCAGGAATGGGTAGGCGATCATGCGGCGTACGCTTGAGCGGACGACAGCGTATAAATCGGCACATGTGTCCAGCCACGACAAAGTCGGACTCACGATGCTCACCGTCCAGGTCGATTCCACGCCACTGTCACCCTGAGTGGTGAGCTGTTCGTATGCAAAGCCGATCAGGATGTCGACTAAACCACCAAGCACGAGCTTTTCTTCCAAGCTGCCAACTGGGACCAGAAACTCTTTTCGTGGAAGCCGGCGCAAAAGTTCTTGCTCCGCCTCGCTAAAAACAACCGGTGCCGCCGGATGTGCCGAAGCTGAGGAGGTATCCAGCGAGACACTGCGAAAACTATCTCCAACACGGTCAACATCTGAATCTACCCCACCGACCAAAGGCGTTAGCACATTGGCTAATACTACGGTACTCTTTAGGTGTGCAGTAGCTGGAAAGACGGGGCAGCTTCTCCAGAATGGCACGTAATCCATGGCGAGCCTGAAGTACATGTCCTCTTCTTGATTAGCATAGTCCATGAGGTAGCGCTCAATATCAAACTGCTGATCCTCCGCAGCTTCGCGAAGGATGCGTCGCTGTTCTGGCCGAGTGTGTTCCGGGTCAGGTAGCGACAGTATCTCCCTCACTTCGCCGTGCCACACACGAAAAAAGTCGCTGTATGCATTGTTGAACCCGTACGAAGGTGCGAGGTCAGTGACACGCACACCAAGCAAATCGACGTTTTCCCCCGCGCCAATACCGGCAATGCTGGCGCGATGTGTAGACGTCGACGCCTCGAGACCAAGAAGCGACGCATCGGTGCGGACTTGCTCGGCGGGTGAAGGTGCAGTTATATCGTCGTGGCAATTTGGCTTGCCATCAATCATCGCGTTCAACCTGTCTGATTCCTCTTGAAAGGTACCTACCGGGACGTTTTCCGTCGACTTCAGCACTTCGATCAGCGAGTCGTTCCTGGCAATCAAGCAGAACCAAAACACTAACGTAAATCTTTTGCTGTCATGACGACAGACCTACGACTCCATGAAAATGAGGTTAGCTACCCTTGATGCGGCCGAGCCTTCTGACACGAGGTTGTCAATCGAGTTCGGTGCGGCTGCAGCAGCTTTGTGAGCATATCGAGGTCTGGAAAGTCCTGGCCTGACTCCTTTTTGGCCAGATGCACCACTATGGTGCCGTTGTCCTGTACAGAATGTCCACACACACACGCAAACACACATGATCGACCGACCGCTCGCTTCGTATCTCAGAGCTGTGTGTTGCAACACAGACTGCAACAGCAGCTGCAACTCCTTCTGTGGTACCTTATTAGGATCGTACACAGCTTTCGTCAACTCGTTGTCCACTACTTCGTGTGGGAAATGCAGCTTGAGTCCGTAGGGTTTGCAAAAGAAGGTAAAGTCGTTGCCATCGACGTAGAACTCCATCTCGGACACTCGCACGAACGGCACACGCACGTGCACGAACACCCACGTGGCGTCTTGCGACACGTGAAACGTCGGTGTCGTCGCCATTGCATCGCTCGATGGGCGACGAAATTCAATACATGTGAACCAGTCACTTGTGTTGCATGACCCTCTCCAACATGATCAAACGCACTCATCGATTTTAACCGGAATTGGAACCTGCTGTCCCGTAAGTGCGGATGTGTGGTCCACTCGTTGTGTACTTAAGTACGCCGCCTTGGATCTCCGCAGAGAGACCGACTGACTGACTCGCTGCGGCCACGCGGACGCACTCCTTCCCGCAAGATGACAGCAGACGTGGCGTCAATGGCAGTGAACGACAGCGCGGGGCTCACGAGCTACTACGAGCAGAAGATCGAGCACCTCGAGCTCACAGTGCGCGACGAGACGCAAAACTTGCGGCGTCTCCAGGCGCAACGCAACGAACTGAACTCGAAAGGTGCGGTTTCGTTTACGCCAACGACTGTGGCACTTTGTATTGACACGTGCGGTTTCGACCATGTTGGAACGATGCAGTTCGCCTGCTGCGCGAGGAGCTGCAGCTGCTGCAGGAGCCCGGCTCGTACGTCGGCGAAGTGGTCAAGCAGATGGGCAAGTCGAAGGTGCTGGTCAAGGTGAACCCCGAGGGCAAGTACGTCGTGGACGTGGACAAGGCGATCGACATCACCAAGTGTACGCCCAACACGCGCGTGGCGCTGCGGAACGACAGCTACGTGCTGCACAAGATCCTGCCTACTAAGGTACGTGGGAAAGTGTGGTGGGTCATGTACGAGAGTGATTCGTCACGTGAGTCTTGACGCGAATCGGTTACGGTTTTGCACAGGTGGATCCACTTGTGAGCTTAATGAAAGTGGAGAAGGTTCCAGACTCGACGTATGACATGATTGGCGGTCTAGATAAGCAGATTCGAGAGATCAAGGAGGTGATCGAGCTGCCTATCAAGCACCCCGAACTCTTTGACGCTCTGGGCGTGGCTCAGCCGAAAGGTGTGCTACTTTACGGCCCTCCCGGTACGGGCAAGACGCTGCTTGCCCGTGCAGTAGCCCACCACACAGACTGCACCTTCATCCGTGTGTCAGGTGCTGAGCTGGTGCAGAAGTATATTGGTGAAGGATCGCGGATGGTTCGCGAGCTTTTTGTCATGGCTCGTGAGGCGTCACCGTCGATCATTTTTATGGACGAAATCGACTCCATTGGTAGTTCCCGTATGGAAGGCGGCGGTGGTAGTGATTCTGAGGTGCAGCGTACGATGCTGGAGCTACTCAACCAGCTCGACGGGTTTGAGCCGGCTCAAAACATCAAGGTCATTATGGCTACGAATCGTATCGACATCCTTGATGCGGCACTGCTGCGTCCCGGTCGTATTGACCGAAAGATCGAGTTTCCGAACCCGACGGAAGGGGTGCGTATCTTATATCCATTGCTGCATAGCTGGCAGTTGAGACTTACTTTGTGTATGATTTGTGTACAGTCGCGCATCGACATCATGCGCATTCATTCGAGAAAGATGAACTTGCTGCGTGGTATCAATCTGAAGGTCATCGCAGAGAAGATGCCGACCGCATCGGGAGCCGAGTGTAAAGCTGTTTGCACGGAAGCTGGTATGTTTGCGCTGCGCGAACGACGGATTCACGTGACTCAGGAAGACTTTGAAATGGCTGTGTCGAAGGTCATGAAGAAGGACTCGGAGCAAAACATGTCGATCAACAAGCTTTGGAAGTAGGTTTCGTTTTGACGGTCATGCGAGGCCAGTTATCCCAGTGTTGGTGTCGACCGTACAAGAACCGAACGCGCGGCCTTGCATGATAGGTTTTCGTTGGCAGGTTAACCAAAGCAACAACTGTTGGAGATAGTGGTGTCGTTTGTGTACTATCGTATCTTTGTAGAACGGCGCAGGGTCTTGCCGCAGTTGTCGATAAACAGCCGTTTCAATGTGTTTTGACAGCGATATACAATGAGGCTGCTGTTTATTTCGACTGAGATGAAGGCGTCAACAACAGCAAAGTTTGCGAACGCACTTGGGAATAACAAAGTTGATGAAACAGGAATAATCATGTTGCCTTGGCCACTACCAATACCACATGCGAGTACTCGACACCCCTTTGGTCCTATGCGCAAGACGATCTTACTCGTCACGTCGCCTGTTTATGATGGACGGACACGGACTCTCGCGTCCGTTATCATTGTGGACGGTAGCGTCCGTCAGTTTTGGCTATGCTATAACAGACTTTGCGAGTAGCTTTGTGCACCAGCATACATTGCTTGTTGATAGCGGGAATACTTTGTGGCTGCGTTCTTGAAGGGCAACTCGAACTGCTGGTTATCTCATGCTGGCGTAGTTCGACACATACTATGTTAGACCAAGACTCGCTGAAGTGACGCTGTGCAGCGGAGCACAAATTACTATTTACATACGTCTTTGGCTAAGGGACATGTGCAAGTTGTTAGCAGAAACAGCGGTCATGACATGGAGCGCAGACTGTGGAAGGTCGCGTGTTGTCACGTTATGAGCCAAAGTGAGCCCTTAACACGCCATTGACATCGACGTTTATCAATCAATATTATAAAAAACATGTGATGCAGAAGAATAGAAAAAGACATTAAAAAGTTAAAAATCGCACCAATGCACCGTAAGGTGAAAAAGTAAATAAAGTACAGTCTTCCCTCTCTAAGTTATAGACTTGGTGGAAGGCAAATCTTATAACATAGCAGAGGTTATTCCATAGCAGAGATATGCTGCGGAAAAATTATTAATTTAATTAATTAAAGAATCAAAAACGCAACAAACCTCCAGGCTTCCAAAACCTGTCTGTCACGTGTCACGTCCCTTTGACGATTTTGAGATTTTGGTTGCCCCACCAGTCTCTGGTGATTTTGCTATCTCTGGTTAAGAAGTTCCACCAACTGTACCTTGCTCACTCACAACAGATGTCCAGATACGTCTTCCAACGAGCAGAAGCTGCGCATCTGCAAGCACCAGTCTAACCCCGCATCACCCAGACCCCTGGCGCTTGGACAAAGGACGCCTTTGACCTCCAGAAGGCACTTTCCCAGGCAGCGATCAGCAAAATCATCAAAAAAGGAAGGAGCTTGAGGCAATGGACACCACTAACCTCAGCTCTAAGCGTCCTTGGACTTCCAGCACCCAGCTGTGAGGAGGCCGTCGCCTTCTGGGTCTTGCAGTGCAGCCTGGGGTCCTCTCACTGGAGATCTCATACGGCCAAGGCTCGACTTTTGGGGATCAATGGCCTGGAGGAAAACATCCGCTTTTCGAATGGGTGGCTCCACAAATTCCAGCAGCGCCACAAACTGCGAGCTTCCATCATAGCGAGATGCTAGCAGATATGGTCCTAGAGGAGGGTCTTCCACACCTCAAGCCTGGTTGTGGTTATACTCACGACTTACAACATGGACGAAACTGTAGGTCTGAGAATACAGTACTACTGTACTCATTGTACAGTACAGAAGCATATCAAAGGCTCACTTTTTTCAGGGTTGTCCTACAGTATGACCCCGACAGAACGATTGCCAGCAAGAGGTCGAAGGGTTTATAAACGACAAGGTACATTATTGCTCTCATCTTGGTTTCGCTTTCTCTGACACTAACAACTTTCTAGACGCCATCACAGTTGCTTCACGGCAAACCTGATGGACCACAAACTCCCTTCTTCATTGGACACCCAAAAAGCGCGGTGTTTTGAGCGCAAGACAGCTGAGCGACTGGCTTTCTCACCCAACAACAAGAAAGCTGATGACTCATACTCTTTAGGAATGGCTGGGACGTCACAAAAGTATGAAGGTAATTTGGGGCATGTCTTGAACATCATCGTTGTGGTACAGTAAATGAGGTTTGACTAACGCGTTGACCACAGCAAAAGGATAGAAAAATCCTGCTTCTCATGGACAACGCTCCTTCACACATTTGTGACTGGAACTCACCAACATCACTCGGCCCCCTATACATTCAAAGTCCAACCCATGGATGGGTCATTGCTTCAAGAGGCACTCCGCGCTGCTCTGCAGAATGCTTGGACGTGAGAGCGGAAAAACCAACCTTTACAAGGTTGATCAGTCAGCGGTTGGTGTGGTGTTTCGTGCCACAATCGCAACGCTTCCGTCATACGGGACTCATGGAGTCCAGCTCTGCGACTGGTGGGGGTGAAAACAAGCGCACTGTTGCAGCAGGCCCGCAGGAGGCAACAGCTCGTGAGGAGCACGCGTGGAACAGACTTGGCCTGGAAAGGTCCGCAATCATATGTGATCGCTCTTTCAATGCTGAGGAGGAGGAGACGCCATGCGGGCTAACCGATGCGAAATCATCAAGCTTGTTGAGGATCGTATGGGGAGGAGGAGGTGGAAGCATTGAAGCTGAAAAGCTTGACCTTAGTCTATCATGCCCTTCTACTTTCTAAGGAGTCCCTGTATAGTCACACCCTTCCAATCCAACTGATCTCGTAGTGGAGCACCACTCGGCCACACTTGATTTCTGGCTGAAGTAGTTTCCTCTCCTCTTTCCACTCCTTTCTTGCGTGAATAACAAACAAAAGGTCTGGAAATTTTCTGCTCACGGGCAAAAATTCCCTCTGATAGTTGTATTTGTCGGATTCCGTATAACTCTCGTGTCACCTTACGGGCGGTGGAGACCAAACCAAACTACCGGGGTTACCGGCCGGGGAATTGCGGGGGACCAATAATTCCAAAATAAGAGGCATTAGTCATGTGTACTACACGACCGAGTTTACGCATGCCTGGTATCTTCATATTTACAAATACACATCTACCTGATTCAATCCGATCCAATTACACTCGTCAGGAACCTGCCCATCTGAATTGATGACAGTCGTATTGCAAGAAGAAACAGGTGCGCCTGGTTAAGCGAAGCCTACAGTGTTGTTTACCGCTTTTGATGTAGGGCCGCGTTACTTTTAGCTCTTTCATGGTACAAAATTGTACAGATGTGTAGCCGTCTTCTCGGCCGAATTGTCTGTGCAACCTAAGATGTATTGGTAATGTTGTTGTATGGGGTGCTAGTGACCACATGGCAAGGA